TGCATCAGCCAAACAGCTCGCTGCACCCGCACTGCGAGGGGGACCCAAGTTCCCGTCAGCAAAAACACGTGGGTTTGCTATCCTGGCTCCAAAATGGTGGAATGAGCTCCCCATTGAAATCAGGACAGCAGAAAGCTTACACATCTTCCGGCGCAAACTGAAAACTCAACTCTTTAGACTCCACTTCGAGCGATTGAATTACTAACAAAGCACTTATATACTAATAAAGGGCTGGCTTTCTAAAGCCAGTTGAGTAGCACTTGAAATGTTTGGCTCTATGAAACCTGATGTACTTATATGATTCTGTTTTCTTCAAGGTTGTATCTTCCTGGTCGAATGCACTTATTGTAAGTCGCTTTGGATAAAAGCGTCAGCTAAATGCAATGTAATGTAATGTAATGTAATGTCTCTTCTTAAATAAATACATTCAAATACAAAATGATCCAAAAAACACATGAACAATTCTTTTAAAATTATTTTAAAATTACCAAAAATGTGTCACAAGGGAGTGGGACACAGCTTTACTGTAAAGTGATCACAACGTGACCACAAATAGTAAAAAAAAAAAGAGACAACAAACATTTACAAAATGACCAAACGGAGACACAAAGTAAATGAACACAAAATGACCTCAAATATATACAAAGTGACTACAAAAGGACACAAAATGACCAAAAAGATACACCAAGTGACTACTGCTTCTATGTGGGTGGGCATTCAACATGCCTGTGCCCGGGGGCCTATCGTCTCACAATTTGCCCCTGGCTGAGGCTGTAAAAAAGAGTGAACTGTTAATAAGTCTAGTATCAGGAAGATAGGGAGAATGAAGCCTCTGAAAAAAAAGATAATGAAATGGAAATGGCTGGATATTGAATAGCTTAGTTTTCAGCTCCTCTTTGAAACATTCAGGTGTCTCACACACTGCAGAACGGGCTAACGGGCTGAGAGTTTCCTCGGGGGTCATCTCATAAATCACAGAGAAGGTCGAGCCCCGTGGGCTGACAGCAGAGAGCATCGGGGGTCAAACACACTTGGGGGACACACACCTCTGAGCTGGGAACAAATAGAGCAGAGCTGCTCCTAGTCTCTGCACTTCAGACACCACGCTCATGTCCTAGTTTTTACTTTTTTTGTGTCACCTCAAGTTTCTTGTTGTAAGGGGGTGGCCTTGTTATTTCACTGCTCTCAAATTCATCTTCATGCAGAGGAAACTTTGTGTTCTAGCTGCCCTATAAACAGAGGGGTTGGGGACAGTGCTCTGTTTTTTGGGTTAGGGCTATCTATAACAAAAGTAAAGAATATATCTTGTCAAAAAGAAATTCAAGGTTCTATACTTGACAAGAAAATCCAATGAACTTAATTTTACTGCAAAGAATGTGGCCAAAACTGCCAGGACATGCCACAAACCCAAAGTAAAGTGTCTGAAAGTATTAAAGTCTTATTTGTCTTATTTAAGCATACGGAAAAGTTTGAAGGGAGTTGTCTAAAAGTTAACAAGCAGTATTTACTTAAAACACTTTCCCTATCTTATTTGTGAAATTTTCCAAAAACAACACTTTGTGCAAAGAAAAACTGAATTCAACTAAATCTCTGGAGAATTTAGCAACATTTTCTCCCAACAGCAGGTACCTAAACTTTGAACAAAAGAGAGATTTATTTCACTTTAGCGAACATATGGTGTACCAGGAAAATTTAAAAATTGTAAATATTATTGCTGCTGGCGTACACTAGAGCTCCTGCTCCAACACCTCACACATTGGTGTTTGACCCTCCTCAGCTGCCCCTCTCCGTCTCCTACTTTAGCTCGAGATTTAGCTTTTTCACTCTTTCAGTCTCCCTTGTTTCCTCAAAGGCAGAAATAACTTTCCGACTGTAGTCACATTGATTGTACATCTGTTTTCACTATTCAATAACAGAAAAAACAGCTATTTACAGTCACACCACTCACTGAGTCATATGGTCCCCCTCTTATCTGTCTAAATCCTTCAATAACCCTCCATTTCATTTTGAATTTCATTATCCCAATTGCGACAGTCACAGTGGAATTATCATAGAGCCAAATGTAACACATATAAATGCAATTGAGTGATACAAATATACGTTTTTAATGATAAACAAATAATAGTATATGCGCAATAGAGAGTTTATATTCCCAGAGCTCTCATAAATATAATATGTTAAAGCAACCACTAAAAGTAATTGTACAGATTTGTTTTGAAATTAACAGAGATCAATACGTACATCAGTTATATCGATTAAAAACACCTTAATTTTAACAGTATCCCTTATAAGTTTCATCCTGAATACATTTTTCACGGAACAATTTAGTAAAAAACACTCTAACATTTATTTTATTGCTTGTTTTATGTGCTTAATACAATTGGGACTACATTTCCCACAATTCCACTTGGTATTTGCTCCTCGCTGTTGGTTGGCCCCAGTTGATGACGCTAAAAACATGCGCATGTAACCTTGTGCTAGTGTGTAGTTTTGTTGTAAAACCAGCTATTGAAACGGCGTTAAAACACATTTGAATGTTATATTTAGCATTCATAGATATTCGTTAGTCATGAACAAATATATTTTACCAGTTTCTGTCTTTGGGACAGTGTTTGGAGTTGCTGTTTTACTCAAGTGAGTACAAATGACTGTCTCTGTATCATGATGTAACTGTACATTTCACACTGCATGTGTCACATTTGCTGCTGAATACAGTGTTAGCTTTACATTCAGACTTAGTTAACAATATATTTACTTAATATTATGTCTAGTTGGTTCAAAACTTACTTTTTGTTGTACTGGTTTGAAGGTAGCTTAATTGGTTTAGGTTTTAAGTGTGCTTAAGTATTATGTTATTTCCTCCCATTATGAGTGATTAACTCTTAAGCTGTTATATACAAAACAGTACACAACATCTTCACAAAGAACAGCCCAGTTATATAAATATATCTTCTTCATAAAGGCAGCTTTTATAACAGGGTGGATGTATTGGATTGAGTAGATGTAAAGGTGTTAATGACATTCTGCTCACTCATTCACAGTTAATAAGGATTGTGTGAACGCTGGGGAATTCTTTGTTTTTCTTTGTGTTATCTCACTTACAGTTATGAGCCTCAATAGTTCATTCAGTTCAAGTCAAGGAACAAACACCTTTCTTTGAAGGTGAGGTCAAAAGTTCAAGACTGTGATGAAAACAAAAACATTGTGTGTTTCAGTCACAAAACTGGATTCATGGTAGAATAAACCTATGAGGGGATTTCTTGGATATAGTTCAGCTGGTTGGCCCCAATTCCTCCCCATCTTTATGCAATTTGAACAGTATTAATAGGCTGGTTGTCCCCAAGTTTGTTGTGCAACCAATTGAACATATCCAATATGAACCACAACACTGAAAAAAGGACCTTAACTTAGATTTTGGCCCACTTTAAAAACACTACACAAACATAGTCAATCCGCTGGGTTGTTTCCCTTATGTTTATGATTAGGAGTCATGCATTCATTTTACACTTAGCTACGGCCCTTATTGGATCAGTTAATATTGTGATTAAGTGCTGCATATTCCCAAACCAATTAAATAGCACAGATAATTTTCACAGTAAACCCTGAGCTGTACTGGGCCTCTGCAGTTGCTTTGCCCATTTGCTAAGTCTACCTTGAGGTGACTGGACTGGATATAACTTGAGTATGACTTTCCTCAATATATGTTAATTCCAGCCTCCGGTACAATATTTCATCATTTCCCATCTGACACAGCTTGTAAAAGGAGCTCTCTATCCTGCTGTATAAAGATTTTCCTGAGTAAAAGTATTGGGCTGATCAATTGGCAGCTGTTATAGTATGTAAACAGACAGGTAAGGTAGACAAGATAGAAACAGTTGAGTCCAGGCTCATTAGGAAGCAAGAGAGACATAACTGAGATTTCCTGGTTTCCATGCTGAAATAGGAGGCTTGTTCAAACGCAATGGCACTAAAGTAATTATTCTTATAGGGAACATATGACTGGAGGCCGGTGTACTAGTAAAGCTACCTTAACTGGGAAGACTGTGGTGATAACGGGAGCCAACACCGGCATCGGGAAAGAAACCGCCCGGGACCTGGCAAAGAGAGGTGTGGAGCATTTGGTCATACAATCTTCAGTTGTTATTTTGCTCACAATGACATGCTTCTTTCTCCATTCTGGTATCATCAGGGGGTCGGATCATTATGGGATGTCGAGACATGGAAAAGTGCGAGACAGCTGCCAAGGAAATACGAGGGAATACCCTGAATCCTCACGTTTATGCTTGCCAACTCGACCTGGCCTCAATGAAATCCATAAGAGAGTTTGCTGAGAAAATCAAACAAAGTGAGGAAACAAAACAAGTCACCGTCAGTACAGTTATGTTTTCAGTTATAGAGATGAAGCACACCGTAAAAGCTTATTTAATATGATTGTAAGTTATAGTTATACCATTTTAAAATCATATGGCTGTTTTTATCAGTAAGTGATTTATGTCTGTTGTCAAGTTTTGTGTGGAAACCAGGAAGAGTGTGGGGATCCTAATAACATCGTAACATCCTAAAATCGATGTTATTGTCTTGCAGAGGAGCAGCGTGTGGACGTTCTGATAAACAATGCAGGGGTCATGAGATGTCCAGAAGGGAAGACAGAAGATGGATTCGACATGCAGTTTGGAGTTAACCACCTAGGTACCTAATTTAAGTCTGAGTGAGTTTTTCTAAACTCTCCGAATGTAAGCTTTTTTGAATGTAAATATCTGAACTCGATCACCACCTGATTCCGATAGCTTCTGTCTTCCTCCAGGCCACTTCTTGTTGACAAATCTTCTGCTGGATAAGTTGAAAGAATCCGCCCCCAGCAGAGTGATCAACCTGGCCTCCCTCGCCCACATCGTTGGAAAGATGGACTTCGAGGACTTGCACTGGGAGAGAAAGAAGTTTGATACCAAGCAGGCGTACTGTCAGAGCAAGCTTGCCAATGTTCTGTTCACCAGAGAGCTCGCCAAGCGATTACAAGGCGAGTCCACTGGCTGCTGCCTATGTGGGCATGTGTGGGAGGGAGTAGGGACTGTGCTCTTGTTTGTAATTGGCCATTGGATGTGTGTATTTTTAAAACAATGGTGTGTGTGTGTGTGTGTGTGTGTGTGTGTGTGTGTGTGTGTGTGTGTGTGTGTGTGTGTGTGTGTAACAGGCACAGGAGTCACGGTGAATGCTGTGCACCCGGGCGTTGTTGCCACGGAGCTCGGGAGGCACACCAATCTGCACCAATCACAGTTCTCCACCACTGTGCTCAGTGAGTATCCTGCTTCCTTCTTGGAGTCTGAGTTTAGAGAAATAAATAAATGTTGATCTAATGCAAATGCACAAATTACCTTGGACTGTATGAACTCTGTTACATGGCATTAGTCTATTCTCATCTACTCTGTATGTATGAATAATACACTTTAACAGACTGCACTGCTGCCATAAAAAGTTTCCTACTGACAACCAAGTGTAGATGCTATTTGATTTAAAATGATTTCCATGGTTTAAAGTCAGTGTTGGATTAAGTATTTAGATTCTTTGCTGAAGTAAAGGTAGCAATACAACTTAAAAAACTCCATTAACCACCTTGAGATATCTTCAGTAACAAAGATATCTGTTCATGTATTACATATTTATACATATGCACATCATTAGTCTACAGTGTTTTGTTTTACAGTACAGTATTCCAGTACTTGTTCCATCCTATATTTTCATACTTTACTCATTCCTGCATTTTATTATTGCACTAACTAATTAGGTATTCTCTATGTTGCATTGTTGGATGAGCTTTCGATTTAATATTGTTACGTCAACAACTATGCTCTAACTGTATGTATGAATATAAATAAAGCATTTACATTTTGAACCCCCCTACAGGTCCTTTTTTCACGCTGTTAGTGAAGAGCCCAGAGCTCGGGGCCCAGCCCAGCATCTACCTGTCCGTGTCCGAGGAGGTGGAGGGGGTGACGGGGGCGTACTACGATGTGATGACAGAAAAGGAGCCGTGGCCTCAGGCTCTGGACGAGGACGTGGCTCTCAGGCTGTGGGAGGTCAGCAGCAGGCTGGTGGGTCTGGAGGAGGAAGGACAACTGAAGCCCCCGACAGAGGTCCAGAGCAGAGCTGCCCAGCCGGCCCTCACACAGCCGAGCGGACAGAGCGCAGATGTGGGAGCTGAGGGGCTGTAGCTGGCCTCTGGACCTGCAGGGGATAATGGACCTTTTATGGCTTGAGCTGAAACAACTCTCTGTCTGAGTCTGAGTGTCTGCTTGTCTCTGTAAATGTATTGTTTTGTACAAGCCTTCATGTTCCTGCATCAGGATATTTTCTTTAACACATGGCAGCCTTTAAAAGTGGACTCTGACTTCTTTTCTTTCTTTTTAAATCAATCAATCAGAATCAAAATACTTTATTTATCCTGGGGGACATTGGGTTTTGTGACAGTTGATTTATTTTTTAAATAAAATAAATAAAGTTAAAGTAAAAAGGTCCAAAACAAGATCAAATAAAGTCAGCACATTGATATGAACATAAGAAGTTTATGTAAAAATGTGCACAGTGTACTCCAATAAAGTGACACTATGTAATATATTAGCACTTTCATTACCCTGCAAATGAAAATGTCAGAAATAAACACACTCTTTAATATACTCAGGGGTTTGCTTCTTCCGCCTCATTTGGTCTGATATGACCCGTAGCCTATAGAGGCTAATGTTGGCAATCTTTCAAACAGATATTGCCATGTAATGAACATTAGTGAGTCACTTTGTTTCTTTGACTTTTCTACTTATTTAAGGGCTACTTTTACACAATACTTTAGTGTTATGCCTCCTGGGGAATTCATCCCTGAAATCACATTATACATAAGCACAGACAGTATCTCACACAGACATAAGGACAATGAGTGAGTCAAGTCTCAGTCAGTAATTTGAACCACATGTATTTACAGCAGAAGGCATTATTATACATATTTACTGCAGGTTCACATTGAGAGAGTTGCAAATGTTTATTATTGTGGATTGAAGCAGAAAATAATGACAAATAGCGCCATCTGGCTGCTAGAGTCCAAATACAGACGGTAGTTCGATATTTTTGTCATTTGTCTTACAGATCATCCAAACAACACTGCTCATCATGTATCTAGGTGTGCAGATTTGTTCAAGTGTGTAAATGTTTTCTTTATATTGAAAGCGTTTGATTGAATGTATGTAAACCTGATAAGGAAGCCAGTTTGTAGATTACTTTTTGTAATCCATAATAGAAATATGATCTGCTTCAAACGAAAATCAGATGTGTAAATGTTGCATGGTTATTCGTTGCAGATTGCATTGGACTGCAAATCACTTCCCATACAGTACAATTGTATTATAATATTCACAAGAAAATCTGAAAATGCTAAATACTTTTTCTAATTTTCTGGAATTGTTTGTGTAATGTATTATACTTGACTACAAATATTGATATTGTAGAAAAAGCTAACACATTCAAACATATAAGTAAGGTAAGAACACTATAAGTTCATTTGAGGTAAAGCCACACTGTTTAACCTTTCTCTGGCATAAAATGAATTAGCACTAAACTAATTAAGTTAACTTTTTTGTTTTGCTTTTGCTCTTGTTTACTCTTGCCTCTTAAAAAACAAATCAAGTTACAAAAGCACTCATCTAATTTTCTAATCATCTCAGACCTCTCAGTGCACAGAAGAATACCCATCTCAAAAGTATTTGAGAGATCCATTGCATAGGGCTTTTTCCAACAGTGAATCCCAAAGTACAGATCAATACGGGACACTCTCTGCTCTAATGCACACGATCATCATTTTCCCTGAAACTGTAAACCCTTGATCGTTTATTTCAGTGTTGGTTTACCAGTGGAGGCTCGCGCTGGTGCCTTCCCAGAGGATGATGGTTATTGTAGACGAGCAACACAATCACTGGGCTCTTCTAAGCTGTCCATATTGTTAGAGATTGTACACTCCCTGGAGCATGGTGCTGTCAGATATACTTTCTAGAATTAGATAAATCAACTCTGACCTCTAAAGTCTACTTATACTATTTTCTAACCCTGTTTTATGTGTGTATCCTTCACAAAGTGGACAAAGAACTCAAATTGTTTACTTTTAAGTACAATTAGTTATACCACAGTGAAGAAATACTGTTTTACAATTAAAAGTCCTGTATTCAAATGTTATTTCAAATACGGTATGAAAGAATTAGCAACTAAAAAAAGAACTAATTCTGCACAACAGCCCATTTGAAAAAAAAATTATATCTATGAATACTCACTACTTTTTTTTTTTTACAATATTCATACATACATACTTATACTATTTTCTAACCCTGTTTTATGTTTGTATCCTTCACAAAGTGGACGAAGAACTCAAATTGTTTACTTTTAAGTGCAATTAGTTATACCACAGTGAAAAAATACTGTTTTACTATTAAAAGTTCTGTATTCAAATGTTATTTCAAATACGGTAAGAATTAGCAACTAAAAAAATAACTCATTCTGCACCACAGCCCATTTGAAAAAAAATGTATATCTGAATACTCACTACTTTTTTTTTTTTTTTTTACAATATTCATACATACTGCTGGGTAGCTTGTAATTTTTATCGAGTTGATATTTCAACCTATAATAATACATGATCTGTTATGATTAGATTGTCCAAAGAAAGTCAAAAGGATATTATTTGCCTCAGATTTTCTGTGGAATACCTAGTATTTAGTAGCAGGAAATGGAAATACTGCATTAAAAAACAACTGTCTCAAATTGTACTTAAGTACAGTATTTATGAAAATATGTTTAGTTACTATCCAACACTGACATTCTTCCTATATTAACTTTGTCTGAATCAACAGTTGGACAGTGAGGTATCAATGCTCTTGAACATACCCCTACCGGACTTCATTTCCCAGAATGCCTGGCTAAAGAGGCGAAAGTTAGCGTCCAAGGTACAAACAATGTCCCTGCAAAGAAACACCTAATGAGTGAGTAATACATGTGAAGGTGGCTCGTCAGAGAAACGTCTTGCTTCGTGTGGAGGTCGTGTATCTTTGAAAGGAGTTGGACGGTCTCAGCGCTAACAAACTAGCTTGGCTTTTTCCAAAAGGTAAAACTACAGCAGCAGCTAGCTTCAACTAAACTTCACTGCGCAGTCCTTACATTTTAAAACTGTTTGCACTCTGCAGATGTAGAAAGCATTACAATAACTTGATATGTTTACAAGGATAGACAAAATAAGATACAACCATTACATTATGATTCAGTCAGTTGCTAAAGCCTTGAAGTGCATCGTTGTGATAACTGCCACCATAACCTTTTTTATGTAACTGCCTTGACTCACTTTTAGTTTAGTTTTTTTATTTAGTAGGTAAATGACAGAATGTGAACACAAGTGCTTCGAATCAGAAGTTTAAGAGGAAGTTATGCATTTACAGCCCAGTCTTATACTGCTCTGTGATTAAAGTCAATGTAATTGCTAAACATTTATATGCATTATCTATCAGCATGGCAGAGCCACAGAAAAAAGGAGAAATGCTCCCTGAAGATGTTGGATCGGATGACTGCCTGACTTCATACACACACATCTACAGTCCAGATTTGTTAAAGTACGTATGAAAATAATTTTCCATGGACTGGCCAAAGTGAGCTAGTTGTTGACATGTTTGTTGCTGTTCTAATTACATTATCTATGATGGTTTCCCCCTTATTTTCCAGAGATCAGGTGGCTTTTATCACAGGTGGTGGATCTGGAATTGGACTGAGGATAGCTGAAATCTTCATGAGGTGAGAACACGTATTGTTTTGCCATAACATGCCCAGTGCAAGAACATCAAACATATTATGATACAGGTGCTTATGAGCGCATGTGTTATATTAGAATAAATCCATGTTAAGGAATAAATGCTCTCTCAGCAATATGTTGTCACTATTTATCAACAGCAAAATGTGTGACTGAGATAGACTATATGTACTTTAAACCTTCTGGTTGTGTTATCTCACAGCCTGACATTCATAATTATGCTTGTGTGACAAAGTTGACAATACTCATGTGGTAAAAGTCTCTCTTGCTAAATTAGTGGAATACTTTGTAACCTTTTACAAGCAGCCAGATTAACATCAAATGGAACTTCTGCTCTTGACACTAACATTTATTAATTATTGTTATTTTTTGTGTGCTTTTGGCCTTTTATCCTTTTTTTTGTTTTACCTTGCATTCACTTACTTCTGTCCCTCACTCTTGTTAACTATTTCATCCTAAATGAAATGTCTTCCCTTCAGTTGAATCTATTCAAAAATTGAGAATTCACTCTGGTGTTGTTATTTGAACTCTTTCTTTTCTTTCAGACATGGCTGTGACACAGTGATTGCGAGTAGGAACTTGGACAAGCTTAAAGAGGTGATTCCTCTAACTTATTCTCCATAAATTCTGTATCTCAAATTATAACTAAATGTATTGGCCTTATACAATCTGATCTTGTGTCACTCTAGGCAGCTACGAAGCTGTCTGCAGCATCTGGACGCCGCTGCCTCCCTCTATGTATCGATGTGAGGCAGCCTGAGAGCATCGCAGCTGCTGTGGAGGAGACCCTGAAAGAGTTGGGCCGCATTGACATCCTCGTTAACAGTATGTAACGCTTTAAAACATGTCTAGAAATGATCACCTAGTTTGTTTTGCCAATACATTTAAAGGTGTCTGAATGGTGAATATGTGCAAATGACCTTTAAACAACTATGAACGTTTTTGGTTTAATCATCAACTTTTCTGATTCTGTGTATCTTTATCTTTGCACCCTAATCTCCTTAACAAACTATTACGTCACTAGCTTTAATGGCTTTGGTTAAAGTCATGGTTACTATTGTTGACAGATGCTGCTGGAAACTTCCTCTGCCCGGCTTCGTCACTCTCCTTCAATGCCTTCAAGACAGTGTTGGAGATAGACACTATGGGCACATTCAACACCAGCAAGGTGGTGTATGAGAAGTGGCTGCAGGTACAGTATTCTTTCTATCTATGGGACACAATATGTCTCAGTTAAGGACACACTAGTCTTAGTTAAGTGTTATTGATCATGTCAATAAGATTCGCTCATTGCAATTCAATTTGGTCACCAATAGAGGACAGTATAGATCAGAGATTATTGATTACCTTGTGTCTAAATGGGATTTAAAGTGCTGCTTCTGCTGTCTGAAGCTCATTTACCCATGCCATTGTTTTTGACACTCCCATCATTTTTGTGTGAAGGATCATGGTGGTTGCATCGTGAACATCTCTGCAACACTTGGATACAGGGGGCAGGCCCTTCAGGTGCATGCTGGCTCTGCTAAGGCTGCAAATGGTAAGAACTTTTTTAAATGTTATAAAATAATATTAAAATGTGATTCTAATGACTGAATTATGCCGCTCTTGTCCCCCAGATGCCATGACCAAGCACCTGGCGGTGGAGTGGGGCCCCAGTGGGGTGAGAGTCAACACTGTGGCTCCCGGTCCTGTCTCTGGCACAGAGGGCTTCCGCAGACTGGGTAAAGATTTAACACTATATCGACAAAAAACAGCTGATTTATGGGTAATCCATTAACACTTATGTCTCACGCTTAAGGAAAAATGGTCCCCATAAAAACCCATGTAAACCACACTTTGATTTGATCCCATGGCCATTACAGCATAAAAACATCAATTGTGTTACATCACACTTTTAAATGAATGGCATTGGCTTAAAAACCTTGCTTTTTTTCTACTATTTCTTACAAGATTGATCCATTATATCGTGTTTTTTTGTTTATTGGCCAACTACATGCTATATTCCTAGACACAAACAATGCATACAATTCAAAGTTTATGCTTATCATTTCAATTCTGAAAAGAATCACACTAGAATATAGTAGTAATAATACTACTAGTTATCTTTTGTAACCCTGACCCTAACAACACTGGTATTTTGTTCAATAAGTGGCATTTAAATAGATATTATTCATAAAATAAATGATCATTTGGTAGCTAGGATCAGCACATATGTTTGTTAAATGATTAAACTTGTGGAATAGGTATTTATAACATTTTATGGTGCGTTTAACTTGGAGGATTAATTAGCAGTCTTTTATAAAATAACAATAAACGGAAGCAGTATTTCAATGTAACTGAGCTTGTATTTCTTTTCTCTTAATGCCCCAGGTGGCCCCAGAGGCGAGGCTGCTGGTGCGTTTCAGTCCATTCCTCTGCAGCGAGCGGGCAACAAGACAGAGATGGCCCACTGCGCTCTCTTCCTGGCCAGCCGGGCCTCCTCCTACGTGACGGGGGCCATCATGGTGGCTGACGGCGGAGCGTGGCTGACTTCCGCTAACGACGTCTCCCTGCTGATGGGTATAGCCTCTAAATCTGCTAAACTCTGAACAGGGGATACTCTGTCCTCCTCCTGACCCAGGTGTGTAGGAGGAGGTGCAGCTCTCCATGTGGAGAGACTGTGTGACTGAAAATGTGAATGTTCTGTGCATTGTATCACATCTCTGATATAAGTTCTGATGACAGGAATACAGCAGTGTAACCTCTATTAATCCACTTGTTTTTATTTTCTTTCTTTTTTTCAGGTTATTGGTCATCTGAAAAGAAAAGAGACAATTGAATGCTGAAAAAATACTAATTTAGGGGCCATCTGTTGGCCATGTACAGTATTTACTTTAAGTATGTATTGCTGGTAGAGTTTAGCACAAACATATAAGAAATGCTATATTTTATAATCTTAATAGTTCAATTATATAACAATTCTGGGTTTTTTACCCATTACAATGCTGTGTAGCGTCATCATGCATTTCATGTATAGTCATGTTTATCAAATGCCGTTTAATGTGATTTTTCTAATACATCTCATTTATAAATAAAACATTAATAATTACAGTTTACTATGGCAAATAATTTTGTTTGTTTTTAGTAATGTCCAACTACTGTCTCCATCTTGCCTTCTTTTCTGTTTGACTGGCATAAGGACATGCTTTACTTAATCATACCTATTTTATTGATGCTATGAATTTGTACTTGTTTTTTTACTTTATATCTCGTTATTGACTGACACTTCAACATTTTTTCCCTTGTTTATTTATATTAATAGGGCGAATATAAATTATATAAGTGGTTCCCTACCTACCAAATCTAAGGTGCCACAAGTTGATTAAGGAAAATATGACATTGGTGGTACTGTTCTCTTATTGTATTGTTCTGACTTTTCTCTTGTGAAAATGTGGATGTTATAACATTAATATTTGAATTATAATTTAATATAGTTTGTTCTGGTGTTCCTCAGAATGAAACATTTGATTTGATGACTAAAATAGGATACAGCAATTGCACACCTGAAGACAACAAATACTTCTGAAAGTCAGATGGGGGCGCCAAAACATTACATTTGCAACCACTTAACATGACCAAAACACATCTCTCTCCACTTGAGGTCTGCCAACTATTACATATTGTTTTAAATGTACATTTATATTATTTTACTGAATAGTTCATGCTTACAAGCAGAGGTGGGATAAGTTCTCAGATCTTGTACTTAACTGAAAGTAGAAACACCAGAGTGTGGGATTCCTCTGTCATAAGTAAAAGTCCTGCATTCATAATGTTACTCAAGTAAAAATACAAAAGTATTAGCATCCACATGTACTTAAAGTACCAAAAATAGAAGTAGTCATTATGCAAATTAGCCCGTTTCAGAATAATGTTATATGTTTTGACAACAATTATTGAATTGTTTATCAAGCTGGTAAAGGTGCAGGTAGTTTTAATAAATGTGTATGCTGCAGGGTAGCCTTTGAATTTTACTCCAGGTGTGACGAAAGTCTTATTTAAGTGTTGATTATATTTCACAGACTGAAACTTCTACCATCCTGAAGTCCCTGAAAGCTCCTCTTGCTCACCCTGAACTTTAACCTATGTGGTGCAGGGATGCTTGCCCACAATGTATGCATATTTGTGCAGGAAGATGGCTAGAATAAAAACCTTGGGTATTGTGCAAAAACAAATCATAAGGCACCATTTGATAGCTGGTATGAAACCAGATACTGCGGGGTGTTTTGTACGCTTGCGTGAAACGTCAGTGGTGTGTATGCGGCTGGAGGAGGAGGAGGAGGAGGATGGGACACTGCTGATGCTGATGCGAGAGCTTTCCGTTTTCTGTGATCAACATCGGAGGACTGACTGCCAAATGATGGAGCTTTTTAGTCCTATTTCAACCCCTTTTTGTTCCGTTGTTGACCTCAAAATGGGACGCAATGGCTGATGTGTTTTGGAGACGGATATCACAGGAGAATTTGAGGTGGAATCATCGGTTTCGTCTCGTCACTCGTCTGGCCTGACACAGGTGGATTTGCCGCTGGAAAAACGGTATCGAAATGAAGACATAATATTGGACTATAACAAAGGCAACAGTGTCTTTAGCTTCCTATTAAAACAGTGGAATATCCTAGCTACCATTTGGTGTAATATAACACGGAGAGGTAGGAGATAGACTGCTTTTCGTGTCTGCTAGCTAATAGGCTAATTTCGCTAGCTAGTCAGTTAGCATCTTCTCTGGCCAATGGCACGGCAGAAGTGGGATGCTCGAAGGAGGAGTTAACGTTAGTTGTTAGCATAAATTCATTGGTAGTTCTCACTGTCGGTGTTATATTTAGTTTACCGCTTTCTAATGAGAGATTTGAGGTTTTAACTTGAGGTTTGTTCAGCTTACAGAAACACATCGCTGCTCTTTCGACTCCTGTTAAAATTAGCTTGCGATGCACAAGATAGGATAATCGGCTAGTTTGAGCTAATGTTGACAAACTGTTGACTGAACGTGTTAATCTGTATTTGTTCAAATTGGCTCACGGTTGGATATGTTGTCAGTCGTTTTTGTTAGTTAATTTCTGAGGAGTCATTGCTGTGATATGCCAGCTTTCAGGCCGATGTGAAGCATGTTGGCGTTGGATGGTGTGAAGCGGAGACATTTGGAAACAACCAGGAGAGGACCTGCCATGACAGAGAGTCACATAGTAGGTCAAAACTCATTAAAATCAGTAAGGGTAAGACAGTAACTTAGTATGACTTTATTATAAATTTGGGTAACAGTGTTGTCAAGATGTGGATGGCAATTGCTGAAGTTAAAACACAATATACTTTGTGTTAATCCGTTGCCTTTCCTGAACCTCTTATTGCAATTACCCCTACTACTCTACATTCAAAAAAAAAAATACAAAGCCTCCCAGCATTGTTTTAATGAGGTAGACAATGCTTTATATACTTTCATATCATATCTGAGATGTGTAATGCCATTTAAAAACATGGCATTAAAGTTGAAGAGCTGGATCTGGACAGTGAGATAATACACCAGCTTTTGTGACGTCTGTAAAGTGGATCAGCTTTATACATGGAAGCGACAGTCCTGTCTGGCCCTTTGGGGCACACACAGTGGGAGTCAGAACTGCCATTTCCTCTCGGGTTTCACTCTCTGGAATCAGACAATGGAGGTGTGCTCTGTCAAAACAAGGGTGGCCAGACAGGTTTGGATTTCTTAAACTGCGATCAAACATCACAACAAAGTGAAGAAGAACACATTTACCAGGACAAGCCGGCAGGGTTGGACAACCTCATAAATATCTCTGCTTTTTCCTGTGGAGATTTGCAGTTTGAGGGAGATCAGTCCAATATTTCCAAAGCTTCTCTCCATGGTTCTTGTATAGAGGAATTGTCCTTCACAGAAAAAACTGAGCCACCTGATGAACTAAGTGACTACACTTTGTCATGGTTATTTTCTCCTAAACTCACTGATGTGGTTGGAAAAAACACAGCCCATGAGGAATTGACTTTGACGCAGGAGACCCCTCTTGAGAGCTCAAATTCCCTTAGTAGTGAAGCTGGGCTAATAACTCTCAGCGTACCGGGCTCTCCATTGAGAATTTCCAACACAGAAGATCCATTTTTGTTGGTAGATCTCCTCTCATATGAAAACTCTTGTCCCCCCGCAGAGTCCTCGGGTGAGTTGAACCCGCAGGGTGTCGGTGAGGAGCTGGTGGACCTGTCACAGGAGGAGCAGGCAGGACTCCCTCCCTCACCGAGCAGGGAGACTTTGTCACCTGAAACCGGAGACAAAAGTTTATTCCCTGATCAAGTGACTGATCTACCTGTTACCTGCAGCATAGGTTCACTTGAGAACTGCCTCCCACATGACCACGTCAACAGCACACCACTGGAGAGTTCGGAAGGATCTGTGCCTTTGTTGGATTCAGAGGTTCCAGATTGTGACAGCAGTCTCAGCCTGTGCCCCGCCAGTCCTGTCTCTGTTATCTGCACAGGTACGCCATTAGATTTATCAACAGAGGAGTCGGAGGTGGAACATGCAGGAGCTACCGTAAATAGAAATGTGACTTCACACAAACAAGGTGAGAATGACTCATTTGCTCTGGGTCTGTCGGCTGAACCACCATCACTGACGGTGCCTGCGGCTGAAGATGCCTTCATCCAGGGTGAATCCACCAGTGAGAGTTGCCATGTGGAAAATGAATCAAAGGATTTAATGGATGAGAATATTTGTTCTGAAGCCAAAAATCAGGGGAACGAGGCAATGGCTTTGGATCTGTGCCTGGCTGCTGAGGAGGTCCACGGCGAAGACATTTGGGACTTGAAACCTCAGGAGGATGTACAAATTGGAAGTATTTCCGATACAACAACTAAAGAGAAGGAAGAGGAGATGTTTACGGACAATAACCAGCTTGAAGGATCAGATTGTCCCGACATGGCTTCTTTTGATTTTTCAGTTCAGGACTTACACAATTCTTCTCCTGAGGCAGGATGGACTAGTGAGCAAACTGTGGAGACATTATCGCTCTCTAAGATGGTGGGAAGTGACTCACTGCCAATGGTCTCAGCTGAGAGTACGAGGGAGGAAGAGGTCTCCCCATTAAAAGCTGTGTTCGATGCTTTGGACCAAGATGGCGATGGATTTGTTCGTATTGAGGAGTTTATGGAGTTTGCTGCTGCCTATGGGGCCGATCAGGTGAGATGCCTTCCTTTTCTGTTGACTTGTTTGCCTCCAGCCTGCAACTACTGGGTAATGCATGCTGAGGGAAGTTCTGTGCAAAACCATATAAAGCGTCATATATACGTAAATGATTTATAATTGATTTTCTACTAACCTCTGAGAGCTTCCTGCAAAAAGCCTGCTTAATTCAATCAGCTGAAATCCGTCTGGCCGAAGTCAATTTGCTACGAGTGTTTCAAGTCCTTTAGGATGTTAATCTCTTTGTTTTAATAAGTAAAGTGATTGAAGGTGGTACAACTTTATATAACATTGTATAAAGGCATTTTAGTATGTTTCTAAAACTCTGTGATTTTGAACCTCCTGTTTGGTGCTTGCATGCTTCCTACATAAGAAAGAAGCTCCTATCATTTGGTGTTATAGATTTGGTTAATACGGCATCATGTTATTAAAACAATGCCTGGATTAGTTTGTCATCTATGTTTGGCCAGTTTTCAAGAGTCCGGATTTGGGTTATCATCCAGATAAGTATGTCAAGCATATTGACTTTAATTAATTCTCTCCGGCCCGTCACTTCTCCATATGGCAAAGGACAAACCGTCATCGCCACATTTGCATATCCTGTGGATTTGGGATAATCTCTAGAGAAATGGCTGATGAGCCTCTCTCCACCAATCACCCTCACCCATGTGTTGCTTTTGTGAAATAGTTTCACTGTTACTTGCAAGTGAAGGGACAAGGAACAACTCCTAAACATAGGGCTGCTCGATTATGGCAAAAATCATAATCTCGATTATTTGGGTCTAATTGTAATTGCGATTATTCATTGACTTTGAAAACATCAATTTATTGGAGAAAAACTATTTGAACAGTATGTTTTTAACAGTTGATTACCCTGAACTTTAAGTATAATTCAACTGAAAAAAGAAAAAAAGTAAAAGAAAGAAAAAAGTAATAATAAAAAAATAATCGTTTTATTTGAATTACGTTGTTTTCGTAATCGTTGCAAGCTGTAATCGCAATTAAAATACGATTAATTGAGATTGATAATTGTACTTAGTGAATCATGTATGTAACATTGCCATACTGTATTACATTGGTCTTTTGAGCATGGTAGACTCATGCTCTGGGGTAAAAAAAGATGACGTCAGTTTCTTTTCCTGTCAGACGTGCTTGTCTGTCTGGATGTTTACAAGAACTGCAATGAGCTTCAGCATGTGATCACACCATTTGTAAATAACAGTTAAAGGGTGGATGCAAACGCAGATGTAAATGGTAGCAGGAAATTACCTTAACTATCAAGTGTGCCCTGATGAGCATGTATGAGATATTTGTTCAACTGATTTCTATTTGTTCATGAGGCAATAAGAATAATAGTGTCACTTATAGCATTTTTGATCCATTTGAACATGTTTTGTTTGTCTTGTTTTAAATATGGAGCTGATTCAGGCAACATATTTTATTCTGAATATATTAACCAGCTTAGTTTTACCTCTTTTTGCTGAACTTTGTTCATGGCTTTTGGGTTAGGATGGGAACTAGTTGGTACTCCACACACAAAGTGTATTGCCGGCTCGCTAATGCTTTTTAATCCCTTTTCCCCCAGTTCAAAGTGCCTCTGTTGCCCCTGATCTGTCCCGTGTCTAACCGTAGGTATCTGTGCCTCCCCATGCAGACAATTTGAAGGATTAAGAGTAAAATGTATTTTCCTGAGTCAGAGGGACTCCATGGTTTAGGTACAACTGCCCATGACCTTGTTTTGAGGGACAAGAGTGGAACTTTTGTAAGTCTAATGTAAATCAAATCCAACTGTTTTGCTAGGCAGTGTTGAACAGGAGACATTTACATGACATCTCTCATAGGTGTGGTCTGTGTTACTGTTATTTCATAGTGTTTGGTTTCGGAGTTCTCCCACGTCTCTCCTCCCAACTATCTAGGTTCCATCGGTTTCCTTTGGATCTTTGTCTCTTAAAAGGTTTTCTTTGGACTGCCAACCAGATTGTACAGATTGATTACTTGTGCGTCTTTTTAAAATGTTTCGGCTATCTGGTTCGCAAGCGCTAATTTGTGTCCTTGCAAAAACTCCTCTCAGATTTCTGTCCTTCCGTGATCAGAGACGGAGACATAGGCTTTGGCGTGTTTGCCTTTTTCATTTACAATAAGTAGGCATGCAGGAGACAGTCTTATCTTCAGAATGTGTGGAATGTTATATAATGGATGTAACATTTCAGTGGATTTGGTATTCATTAGCTGAACTCAAGGACCAGTGGGAAAGTCAGGTCTGATCTAACAAGGCCGACATGCAGCTGAATTAAGAGTGCGGTTTGTTTCTTTGCTGAGCTAGAAAATGGTTTAATCTTTTCATATCAGCTTGCAATATTTATATGCTTTTCATATTTGAATAAGCCCTGGTATGCCCTTGTATTTTATCTGGAATTTAAAGTGGTTTCAATAACTTTCAAGCCTGGATCAGATTAGTGAAATTATACTCTTGCATCATGGTGGTAAAACAGGTATTTTAGCTGTATGGTTGTGAAAACCAGAGGGCAATAGGTCACTCTAATTTATAAGGACATCCATAAGTTTGCTTAAAAACGATAAAAGTTTTAAATTGGACATTGGGATGTAAGCCAAGTGGAACTGGCGTTAAGAGCTGCACTTAAGATGTCACAGGGAGTTTTCTTAGCAGGATTTATTGTGTGATTAACCGCGCTTGGTTTAGTTGTGATTTTCTTATTACATTTTCTTTTCTGGTGAGCATATACACAGGAGGTTTTCATATTTAAATGGTCAGAGTTTGGTTGTTTGTGTTTTACTGTGTACCACACTGCACATTTCCCAGCAACTTGTCAGGCACAGCAGGAAGGTATTCATGAGGTATTTGCATGGATGTTCAGCTGGCGCTTGTCTGCTAAACATGAAAATATTTTATCCAGAATAATTCCAGGATATGATTGTGACCATGGGCAAACACACATTCTGCTTTGTGTGTGGATTTGATATGAGCATCCTGTCACATAGAATCATAAGAAGACAATATAGTCTATTGATAATGGGGCTGCAACTAATGATTATTTTCATAAACAATTAATCCGTAGATTATTTTCTAGATTTTTTGTTTGGTCTATAAAATATTAAATAATGCCTATCTATAAAACTGCCAATACTCCACTGATCTAGTCTCTCCTGGTGTCCCTCAGGGCTCAGTCCTTAGTTCCCTTCTTTTCATCCTGTGCAAAAAACTACATTTCTGAGAGGTTTTTGATGTCATTTCCTGCAATTTTTGCATCAAAATGTAATTTAACGATGATTTATTCTCCCAAACGGTATGTGATTTGATTTTTATTGACTTCTTGTTAAGACGACTAATTGAAAAAAAGTGTTGCATCTCTCATTTTAAACACATTTAACTTAAAACATGCCTTAAAAGCGTAGCCTTTACCACTTCTTCTTGGTGAGACATCTTTTTCAGGAAAACCACTTTGACTGGATATCTAAAGGTTGCAAATTAACATTCTTATTGTAAGTCTGTCAGTGTCATAAAACTATATTATGTATAGCAGTGATGTTTTTTAGGAACACTTATGAGGAGTGAAAGCTGGCCTACTAATCAGGTACTGATCTACTTTTTGATGAATACCAGAAAGAAATGCCCTCAAACATGAACTGTCCTGCAGGCATGTGCCAAATCTGTGAATTCAACTATTGAAAAGATTTTCCTAGCCACCACTGATAGGATTCACTCACTGGTTTTGACCCTAATTCTGCACAATAGCTGTATTGAACTGCATTGTGGTCGTGTCTCTCTTGTTGGTCGACACTCCGACCCCACTTTGGCCAGCCTCGCTCCCCTCACCCGCTGCTTTTATGTTCTGCCCCTCTAATCCACAATGGAATGTCCCATGCCCTGAAACATCCCCCTCTCTTGAGGTCACTTTTGTCTGTTATGTGTGTCAATGTTTTATATCCTAAGAATCATTCTGCATTTTTTTTTTTCATCATCTTTTGCCAGCCCACTAGGCTTATGATCACGGTTATCAGAGTTTTGTGTAGGAACTATTGTGAAGTCCCCTCCAGGAAAGACTTTCACCAACGCGTATTCTTCTCATGGGGTTATGCACAACGGCGGTCTGTGTGGAGGCGGTCAGGCGTGCCCCGGCACTGATTAGACGCAAATAGAGGAAACAGAAAAACCACAGTGCCTTCTCTGCACCGCTGAGCAGTGGAACTCACAGAGTTGCCTAAAGTTAGTTTAGTTTGTATCTGTCTTTCCACTGTCTCTCTGGGCTGTGCTTGTTAGGTGTAACAATTACATTTATTACATAAGACATTATCAATTAAAATACTGTGAATTACTACTATTTAAGAAAAAAAAGAGAGACAGATAAGACATCTTTTAATACGGTATTCAAATAATACACATCTAGAAAGTACCAGTTTTTATTAAGTAAAAAGAAAACAAATGAGGCAGGTAAACTATAAAGTAACAATCAAAACAAAAAAACAGAACACAAATTGACTATACGTAACGCAGTGTTTTCAACAACATTAAACTAATGCATTAATAATAAGTTCAATTGGTCAATTTGCACTCACCCCTTTTTTTATATTAGGGTTTGCAGTAAACATTATCAATAATATGCTTAAATGTTTTGTTTCTGTTTGCTAAAATCCTTTGAATAATGGTGACCAAGGATCATATTACCCAAAATAGTTTTGGTTCTCCAGTCAGATTTTTGTACTCCTTTTTTTTAACAGAAGATAAATCAAGTGGTTAACCAATTACGTGATAAATGGATAGCATACTTCAAAGAGTCTGTCTTCTCTCAAGTAGAGGCGAGAGGCTTTCAGTTTGCCAGCTTAACATCTGTGGAGAGGCTTTACCAGGGTCCTGGAGCAGCAATAAAACTTTACTGGAATTACTATCACCTCTAGTTTTTTTAAGGTTAGACCTAGGAATAGCCACTACACTCTACTCACAAGACCTGAGGGGCCTGGCACTGCTGCACAGGCTTAACAACTCTGATGTAGGCCATGGATTGCTTCCATATTATAGTAGGTTTACAGTGCTCTGGTTGCTTTGTTACTTTGGTTTTTCCAGCCGTATAAGTTGTATGTTATCCAACACTGGCTCACTATTTTACTGCAGATGCAAAATCTAATAATATTTCAACTGAATTATGACAGTTTCTGACACTCATCACACCTCAGTTTTCTCACCTCACCCAGCAGAGGTGTTTCTGAACAGCTTCATGGAACATTATTTTCAGTCAACTCTGATTCTCCATTGTGACACGAAACTAAAAGCTAACGCCCACCGTTGAGCGCAGCCGCACACTTCTTTTCACAAGTTCAATCCTTTTTAAAGAAGTAATTTCTTCACCCGCTCTTCTTCAGCTTACAGTATCTTCTGTAGCAAATCTACTGGAGGTTCAGAATTGCAGAGAAAGAATTACCATGCGTCTTGAACACAGATGTTAAACTTAACATTTCAGTGTGAACATCCACTCAGATAGTTCAGCCACTCCCCTCCTCTCTCTCTAAGAACAGCTGGCCTTAATGAACCAAACCCAGATCATAAGCCACAGGGGTTTTTAGAGTCAGTTTATTAGGAGTTTCAGCCTTCTCAGCCTCCCTGAGTTGGAGCTCAGCGTTGCTAAGCAGATCAGCTTGTTTTCATGTGTAACCGATACATACAAGTGTAGGAGAGAGGCCGCACACACACTGAACATCTCGGTGAAAAGACCGTGTTCTCGTTGTGTGCTAAGCTTCTTCGAGGAATAATGTGAGCTGAAACCACAGAAACCTCGCCCGACATACTCCCAGGCTCCTTCCAAGTTTGTCAGTCATACAGCCCTTAAATTATGCTGTAATAGTGGGTTAGCATAATTTCGTGATGGATGACATTTGACTCGGTCTGTTATTTGTTTAAATAGGTTTCGATTGCTTGGCGCCACCAATAATTCTGCAAAGAACAAAGCGCATATTTAGTTCCCAGGTCTTTGTAAATAGGGCAATCTGCCAACACACAGATGATGGCTCAGATCAGATTTAATTTCACTTACAGTAGGAGTCGATTTTTTTATTAAAAATAAATAGTTGATTCATGCACATTTGTGTTTTATCAATGATCTGAGTTCCTGTTGTTACTTAAGCGCACATCCGCCTGTTGCCAGGTTACAGACTGAAGAATATACAGTATGTATGTGCAGTTACATAAGCATTAAACCAGAGTTTAGCTAAGTTTCTGTGCACACAAGGCTTTATTGCTTTACATTATATAATGTTCATGCATGCATTGTAATAGATGTCCTACTTACTTGCTTCCATAAGCTATCTTTAATTGTATTACTTCAGATGGTGGTAAACGGCAAAGCTTTCAGTAACTGTTTGCATGTTCAAAGATAATAAAAGCTGTACCCTTTGCAAACCTGTACCCTGTTAAACTCACTCGACTCGTCTGCTAAACTGGTTTCATTTTAAAGTTCAAAAGTTGTGTTTATTGTTGCCGTTTTGCTTCTGTAATCAAAATCTTTGCAGACCACGTGCTGTAACTCTGCCTGTAACTCTGCAGTAAACCTGTCATGTTACTGAAATGACCTCAAGAAAGAGTTCTTAGTAGATGTATGTAGAACAAATCAGATCCAGTTCTGGCTGTTTCTCCTGCATGTGCTGTTTTATTGAAGTCAATGTGCTAACAGTGCAGTTATATCATTGTATCCCATGGGCTGAAAACTTCCCTTTACATAATCTATGACATAAACTTGAAGTATCCAAGTGGAACATATGATAAAGCTATGGATGAAGGATGTTCTGCTGCTGCTGCCATGATGGAATTGAAGTTTTAAATGTCGTATTTCTTTACTCTTTCAGGTGAAGGATCTGACCAAGTTTCTGGATCCCAGTGGTCTGGGAGTAATCAGCTTTGAAGACTTCCACCGGGGAATCACTGCAATCAGCAATGGAGGTGAGTTATGAGATGTTATTTCCATGTCATGCAAGTCACATGTCTCTTAATGGTTTCCCTTCAAACGTATTATCTTGTGTTCTCTTGTTGTGCACCTTTTGGCCTGCTGTGAAAGACTGTGTTCTACATTGAATGATCTGAAAAACCTACCTACTAAACAAAATATGCTGACATAGAAATGTCACGTGTAACGAATGCTTTTATTGGATATGTTAACACATTCATCACAAATCAAAAAACGTGGCAAGGCAATTTTATTTATATAGCACTTTTCAGCACGTGGCGATTCAAAGTGCTTTACAGATTAAAAGAAAAATACATTTAAGAACAAATGCAGCATAAATATGTTATTAAAAAGGAATTTAGTTGCTACATGGTGAACTTCTGCATCCTGATGCTGGAATTCTATCTGTTTGTAGTACGCGGTGTGTGTTAGAACATTTATTTTCCTCTTTATATTGGCTAACCTGCCGTTAACCCAATTCTGCTGTAAAACGAAAAACCTGCCCAGGCAGCAAATACTTACACCTACATTTAGTCTCCAGCGTCTGGCTCAATCTCTCCGCATTCCCCATGGCGCTCAAATCATGTTGTCAACACAGTATGTTCACATCCATCGCTTAGCGGAGGGATTTCAAAAGGAAAGGCAGAAGACTGACCCAAATTCTGTGGACTCAAACTACTGTTATTCTCTTAAATCGCTTTGCTTCACTCCTGTTCCACTTTATACGCTTTAAAACTAATCTTGTAATGATACTGTATTTCCTCCTTAAATGGGAACACTTGATTAGCCTTTCTTCACAGTTATGTTATGGATTTAGAAACCCCAAAGTGACATCACTACCAGCAGTTTACAGTAGGGCTGCTCGATTATGGCAAAAAATCATAATCTCGATTTATTTGGGTCAATAATTGTAATTGCGATTATTCATTGACTTTGAAAACATCCATTTATTGGAGAACAAAAATGTGAAAAGTATGTTTTTAACAGTTGATTACCCTGAACTTTAAGTATAATTCAACTGAAAACCCCCCCAAAAAAAAATTATTAAAAAAATTATCGTTTTATTTCGATTACCTTGTTTCCATAATCGTTGCAAGCCATAATCGTGATTTTTAAAATATGATTAATTGAGCAGCCCTAGTTTACAGCAAACGCCGGTGGTGTTGACACGATGCACAGGTTGTGTTGACGTAACAGCGATAGTGCCCTGTTTACCTGGATCCACCCCGCATATCGATTGGTGGCCTTCTTACCCAAGGCTTTTCTGGGTTGCACAGCTCCGGTTACTCTTTTCATTAATAAGTCATGCGCTGGAAAGCATGCGATGCACGGACACATTGGCTCGTTGGCGAGGTTTCAGAGCGGGAGTGGCAGAGAGATGGGGTTGGGTAGAGAGTCCTATTCAGCTAAATAATTCACTGTCCTCTCCCTCTGCTCTGGCCTCTCTGTTTCACCCGTGTCACTACTCACAAAGCTTTGTTGTTAAGACAGAGCACTCAGACATGTGTAAACATCTACAAAAACACATTGTTGCGGAAATAGGAAATAATATGCCTTTTTTTAAAACACATTATATAAACTCCTCTGCCATTTATTCATTGTAGTCGTGTGTCCCTGAATCTGTTGTGTTGCCTTGTTTTGCTAACTCGCATATCATGTAACCATGATGTAATGAGTGAGAATACAACAGGGGATCATTGACAATGTTCCCATTACTCACTGTCCTCCTCTCTTAGCTCCCTCCCTTCAGTATTTCTCTGTGTAATCAGCCATGTGGAGAATGCATCAGTTACTTCCTCACAGTTTCCCATTAGTGTGTGAAGATCAAACCTGAACTGTAACTTCCCAGGTCGTTCACACACTGCTGAAAGAATTCCACTATTCTTGTAAAGGTTTTTTTTTTTTTTTTTTTAGACCAATGTTATGTTCCCTACCACAGTTTCTTCCCCATCTCTTCTTTGACCAGTTCCTAACCAGTCGTCTAGTTTTAATATTAGCATGATTACACTCTGCTAAATCTTCAAAGATGGGTCAACTTATCCCTCAAAGGTGGGGTAGGTAAGAATGGAGAAACCAGCTCGAGTGCGCTAGAATTTGAAAGTACGCAGCCGAAAAAAAATCTGCCCCTTCCTTCAGACTTCCTTACAGAGCCCCTCCTCCAACACACACGAACGCGCACATGACCAATGAGGGCACGAGATAAGTTTGTGCACAGATGGAAGGCTGACAGGCAGGTAGGCCATCCAGTTATTTTAGCCAGGCCGGCTCTGATGATTGGTCGTGCTTTTTACAGCGCCACGGCTTCCACAGATGACATTATTTTAATGTATTTATTGTCAAAGCACTTCATTTATTCATTGCTATCGGGATGTTAAGAGCATTCCATGGAATATAACAAAAAGTGGTTCTGAAGTGAATTACCTACCCCACCTTTAATCGACAGACAGATAAATAATCCCCAACTGTTTCGATAAATGGTTGATCAAAAATGTCAGAAAATGCTCTTTTCAGCTTCTCAAATATTGAGATTTCCTGCTTTTTCTATGTTTTATATCAAATTAACGTGAATATATTTAGTTTCGGACTGATACAAAAGGACATTTAAAGACTCTGCCTTGCACTCCGAGAAGCTGCATTAACATCTTTTTATTTTTCTGACATTTTATAGACAAAACTATTTATCTACGGATCTAGAAAATATACTAGATACTCTGGCAAGGCTAGAATAATCAATGAGAATAATCATTGGTTGCGGCCCTTCATTCCACCAATTTCCTTCCTGCACAACTATTTAGTGGCACCGGTTCCTTTTTAACAAAGAGAAGCCTGCAGGCCATGGAAATGCCTTGCTCCCTGTAGTGGCTGTGGCATGTCTGCAACAACAAAAGTTGGTTTTGGAAATATTCCTGATATTTTGACATCGTGCCAAGAAGCTGCTGTTGTGTTGCTAAAACAGAAGCTAGCGTTTTGCAGACTCACTGCACTTAAATGGCCTGCGATGTGTACGAGTCTCGAAGAGCAACGGGTTTATGAGACCAGGGGGCACAAAACCCTGGGGTCTGCTGGTGGCTACTGAACACAGTTTGAGCTCCTTTCTCTCCGCAGGGTGCTACTCACAGCTCTGTTTACTAGACACAGGAGCCGCAGTGGCTCCATCTTGCCGCTCCGCCTCAGGTTACACTGTTTGTCTGCAGGTGCTCCCAACAGAGGCCTGTATTGACAAACGTGCATTGGATATGCGTTGCCTCTTGTCCTTTGTGTATTGCTTTATTTCCCCACATACACTTATTACATGATATTCCTCGCCTTTTGAAATGCGAGTTTAAAAGTTACATAATGTTTACTGTCACATTACGCTCAGATTGCTGACTGTAAATATGCCGGTGTAGGGCAACTAGGACATGCACTCTAAAATGTGCTGAGCAAACACACTACAGGCAGGGATATCAGTTTGACAAACAAAGGTTTGACCATTTATTCTGTTAAGAGTTCAGTCGAATGTATTACTACTTACACCAAGAGATGACTTCACCTGAGAGAAAACAACAGCATGTACTTAATGGCTTTTATAATGCATTCCCACAATACTTTTCTTTCCCTTTTTGTGGGTAAGAACAGTTCATTTTAAATAACTACAAATTAAAGGATACATTATAATGTTAAAATCTTTAATGTGAATTAATATATAAAACATTTAGTAATAATTGCATTATATTTAACAGTATATATATATAAGTACTATACTGTAGCAGATTAGGTTATTTTGATCAGGGTGAAGTCTAATCATAGATCTTTATGATATTAGCAGACTTTTAAATGTACATTCAAATCCAGTTAGGCATAGAGTTGGATTGTTATCATTACGTGTCTCTCTGAAAAGATCTTACAGTCTCCTTTGCATGTAATTGCTTATCATGTATTCATTCACAACACAAATGGTTATTACATTGCAGACTGCATATGAATTGTCTCTCGGTGTATTTTCACTGTGTTAGCGCTCGCATGAACCTGCTGGGACACCTTCTTTCTTCATGGAGCCTGCGTTGTTTGCACCAGTCCTGTTTAGGTGGAGCCTCCTTTCCTGTTTGACTTAATGTGTTTGATCTGCTCACATTAAACCTTCCTTCTTCCCCTCGTATCCACAGGTCCGGAGCCACAGATCTACAACTACAGTCCGGGCGACGGAGCGGTGGGCTGTCAGGAGGAATACGACGAGGTGAGCGCCGCACAGGAAGCCCCCCCCCTCTGTAGCCGTGCATGTGGTCCAGTCTGTGCTCCCAGTTGTTGCACACAGCAGCGCAGTGTGACGCTCGCAGGCTGAACTCCCCGTGCACTCTCACTCTTCCCACTGAAATCCTCTGGGCTATGATTACCGCTCTGGTTTGGCTGACACTGAATAGCTTCTGGCTGGCTTTTTGAGTATTCCTTGACAAATATTGAATTAGCTGGAATGTGCCAGAGTTTTTTTTACATGCGTGTATGTAGACTTGGTGTTTTTACAGTGGCGGTTAACATATCTGGAATTCCTCTCTTCCTGGAACTTGTATATTTAACCATCATTGTTGCTGGCCTCTGCAGAATTTAAGTGTTCCTGCTATTGTGTTCACTGAGAGCACTGCTGGACGAGGACTGTTGTTTTCATGGCTGAACACGGCGCCCTATCAGCTCCCTCTCTTGGTAGGGTTTAGAAGTACAGGCCCATGAGTCGGAGTGTGAATGGGTTCCCAGTAGGGCTGCTCCATTATGGCAAAAATCATAATCTCGATTTATTTGGATTTAATGGATATCACGATTATTAAAAACGATTATCCGTTTACTTTGAAAACATCAATTTATTGGAGAATTTTTTTTTTTTTAAACGGTATGTTTTTAACAGTTGATTACCCTGAACTGTTAAGCTGTTAAGTATAATTCAACTGAAAAACCAATAAAAAAAAAAAAAAAAAGTAATAATAAAAAAATAATTATTTTATTTCGATTACGTTGTTTTCGTAATCGTTGCAAGCCATAATCGTAATTGCGATTAAAATATGATTAATTTAGCAGCCCTAGTTCCCAGCACTTTAATCTAGTTTATGAGTTCATAAGATGATCATTCTTTGAAAGAAGCAGGCATTTGTCTGACACTAACACAAAGCCTGATTTGATTACATGACCGCTCAAGAACACAGTGAAGGTTGTTAAGAACATTTCGATTTGTATCTTGAACTATAAGGGATAGGGTGAAATGAACATGATTTGAATTACTTGAAGTTGTTAAATAATCAGTTAATCGTATTGCTTTATTTTCTTGTGAACTGATTTTTGTCCTTATGTTTCATTAAAAAAATAAAAAAATAATTGGACTTGAAAATGAACACTAACAATGAGTAGAGCGCAGTGATTTATGAAGCGTCCTTGCTGTTTACTGGAACCTGTGCGCAGAGTTTTTGAGGAAGTTTGTGTTTACGCTTGAAGTAGACGCCACACCTGTGTCCCCGGCCTTGTTTTTTCCCTCCAGTTTCTGGCAGAAAAGGGTTCCTCTCTCTCAATGGCCGCGCTGTTCTCACCCTGTTTGCTTTCAAAACAGGCAAGGTGAGTCTGTTCCGCCTGAGCCTGGCATCAGAGGAAAGCAACGCCCCGTCCACCACCCCGTTTTTACTGCTACTAAATATGTTCTGCTGCTGCTACATTTCCCTTTTGGATTCATAAATAGAAACATAAAACAGCAGTAATTGTTTACAGGGATCCAGGTTATTAACCTACCTACTGTACTGTATGTTAGTTTTCTATTGGCACACAGTCCAGAAGTTATGACAGTTGTGATATCTTACACTCTTTAACTGTGCACTCTGCAACACCAAAGAACATGGCTTAATGATTTACTCTGTCACACCGGGCCAGGAAGGGAAGCTCACGGGAGCCAGAAGAGATTATTCAGCTGATCGTGTGTCATTTGAAAGCGTAGAAAGTCGGCTGGTTGAGCATTACAGCTGACTTCTGCCACTCTTTGGACTTTGCCTCTGTCGCCTCCCCTCTGACCACCCAGTGGAGCTCAACGAGGTGTTGCAGTATTTTTTCCACTTTTTTCTTCTCTCCCTCTGAGAGTGAAGAAGCATTAGTAGTTATTAGCTCTCATGACAGGCTGGCTTCTCTTCCTTTGAGAGAATGGTTCTGAGCATGGTGGATAGCCCTCTGGGCCCTGCTTCTCCCAACGCTGCATTTATAATGGTACGTTATGTTTTCTAACATGACTCACCTCTCTCGGCTTTATTGCTGCTTCACAGCTCTGATACCTGATAAAGTGTCTCTTGTTGCTAATAGCTTCAGATGTTCTTCTTGGCATGCCGCAGTGTAGCATTTGGTATTTGTTGCTTACTCATTTAGTTTGAACTTGTTGCTTATAGGTGTTTATGCAGCAGGTTTTTTTTGCTTGGAGCAGCCATCTGAATCACAGCAGAGCGTCTCTGAAGTGTGTTCTCGCTCTGTGATTCGTTTGGGCGTAATTGGCATCGATACCTACTGAGTAGACCTGAACATTAAAAATAGATTTTTTTTAAACTGTATCAACCCATAGGTGTGCTATCTGCCTTTCGCTTCACAGGGTTGCACATAATCCTGATTGCTGCTGACATTTAAAAGCCAGAACCAGAAGTAATTGCTCGGCTTGTTTATAATTGTAATGATGATTGCGGCACTAATTGTTTATCTGCAATATTGCTGCAGCAAAGCAGGATTGCTGTGTTTTTTTATTTATTTGTAAAATACTGTCTTTTAATGCCCGCTTGTTGCCATGGTGAAATAGAGATCAGTGTTGTTTTGTCTGTTTACTGCTTAATAGGCATACTGTAATGTGTTTTATTCTTTGTTCTTCAGCAAAATGAGGTGACGGACAGTGCGTACCTGGGCTCCGAGAGCACTTACAGCGAGTGTGAGACCTTCACCGATGAGGACACGGGGGCCCTGGTGCCCCCCGAGATGCACGAGGAAGTGGAGACGGACAGCGGCATCGAGGCCACGCTGCACGACCCGGAAGATAGTGGAAATAGGTCTGTAAAATCTTCAGCCATTTACACTACGTATATATGTCTACATCTTTGTGTTAAACGCTAAGAAGGCGAGTTGCTTCCCTGAATGACTTCTGCGATACAATTATAACCCCCTTGTCTTGAGATCAACGTCATAATGCTGTCACTGCTGGCCGCAGAACTTTATGGTAAATGTGTCAAATCTCCAGCTAGGGGTTGGCTCTGGAGTTGCCCTGCGTTGAACTTTCACACAGATCATATGGTGCTGGATCACTTTGGTCCAACAGACAGACAGATCAAACCTTTGGTAGAAAGTCGAACATAGAGATATTTATCCTACTCTTTTTTTTTTCTTGGTTTCATCCATTTAAGTGCAGCTCCTCATGTATTGATACTCTATGTATTGTCAGGGAAAGCGAGGCCACACTCACCCAGGCAGCATAATCAGTGGGGACATTGACTGTTGATGTTTTCTGTCGGTCTGAACAGGAACAGCCTATTCAGAGATAACTTGAAATGAGCACAGTGTGAGCGCCAAAGTCCTTGAAAACAGCAAAAGCCTTCCACCATTCAGTGTGTCTGAGAGGATCATCATTTTGTGAAGGCTGAATAGGACTGAGATTCTCTCTCAAATCTAAGCAGACACTTCCAGTCACACTGAGGGAAATACAACTAAACCTAAGCATTTTCGAATAGATTTCTTGTCACATTTTGTATCTCGCATTCTTTGGCGTTGGATTTGGATTCTTCTCATATTATTTTCTTATGATGTTAAGTGTTGGCTATTATTATTAGCTATGTGCACCTCACAGCCTGACTTAAAACCAGCACTGTCCACTCAAAGCAGTCAAAAATAGTACAAATCTCTTGCTAATGAGCCTGCTGCCTGTGTCATGAGGCTTTTGTCTATTAATAAATAGTCTGAATAATAATGGCGTTTGTTGGACTCTTTACCATTTAATTAGACCATATTAAACAGAGTAGCACCACAGAAACAAAATGTGCTTCTGTGATCCATTATTTGCACCAGACAAGTAGGATGAGCAAGAGATTTGATACATTTTAAGGTGCACATCAAACCCTGATTTCTATCATCTTGATTCCTTCTCTCCTTTTGTCTACGATAGGTAGTTACTGTAGATGATGTCTATATATCTGGAACCCCTTGTTGCTGTTAGGTCCAACATGAGTGAGGAAGTGCACAGCGCTGAGGCCGTTATCTGCTGACTCTGTGACCCGCCTGTCCGGCTTGGTGACGGCTCTGAGTGTTCTCCCTGACAGGGATGTGTTTGGACTTCCTATTCCATGATTGAGCCTTGAATTCCAGGAAGTGCTGAGTCGGCTCTTTTTTTGTGTTGTTTTGCCTTTTTCTCTTTCTGTGGCCCTGGATAATCTCAGTCTCTCCATCGCCTCTGCTTACGGGAACACTGTATGACCCTGTGACCTTTTTCGTATTCTCTCATTTAGACAGTCTGTTTGTGTACATCAAATTGTGATGACTCATTGCTGACTCACATCCTTGGCATTTTTTCATGCATAAACCTTTTTTACAGGGTTTTGCAAGTCACAAACAATTTGCTACTGTGAGTGGTTTTAATAGCTAGTAAATGCAACAAAAGGATCAATACCTAAACTTGATTTGTTGCCATGCTAGCTCTCGCCATATTCAGAGTTGGATTATACTGTATGCACTGGACGGGGGATTAAGACTGTAACAGGATTAACCTCCCCCACACATTTGGCACTTAGAAGGTCAGCGGACTGTCTGTTGGCCGTTGCTTAGCCTAAAGTCTGATTAGCCCACTCACGGTCAACCCTCCCTGGTACCGCCTCCTTCGGGTGGCACAGACGATGCAGTCATGTGGCACTGATTGGCAGCTCATTAGGAACACAGACTAAGCCGTTTTACAAAAGCAGACCCTTTTTTTTTTTTTTGTTTCCTCCCAGCTGGAGAGTCGTGGTTTTGTTTTAAATCAGTGTAGCCTGTGAAACTTCAGAATTCCACTTTGGTTGTCGGGGGTGTTGACTCCAGTTGCTCCACGGCTTTCACGCCAGAGCAGCGGAGGGCCTTTAAAGATGCCTTCTCTCTCCTCGCCGTCCCCCTTTGCAAAGGACCTCAATATGGGGCCATGTTGTAAGAGCCCGGAAGAAGGGTAAGTCTCCAAAGTTGGTTTTGTTTTTCCTAGTGGAGCATAGTGTTTGCAGAAGAAATTGCTGCAGGTTAAACTGCATTGATGTCTGGTGAAAGCAAATTAGAAGGGACATTTGTCTTTATAAGAGACTACAGTTTTAGGTTTTGGTGGTGGTGTTTTAGCTTTGAAGTGAGCACTTTGTCTTGTAAACAATGAAAAGGATCTTTGTCGTTGTGTCATGAAAGGGCAAGCTTTTCTGCTGATTTAGACTTCCTCGTCCTGTGTTTGCTTAAGACATCTAACGTATCCTGTTAGACAACAGGAAAGGCCATCTTTCCAGCTTTCCTGTTCAACAAATACAAAGGACTTTATTAACTTAAACCTCACCATTCCAGGCAAAGACTTCCAGAAGAGTTTTCCTCAGTTGTGTTAGATACCCGGCCAAAGCCAAAGTCACAACCTGTTTTTTATCAGCGAATAAAATGTCTTAAAGGTGGGGTATGTAATTCACTTCAGAAACACTTTTTGTTATATTCCATGGAATGCTCTTAACATCCCGATAGCAATGAATATAAAAATGCTTTGACAATAAATATATAAAAAAATATTTCATCTGTGGAAGCCGTGGCGCTGTAAAAAGCAAGTCCAATCATCTGAGCCGGCCCGGCTAAAATAACTGGATGGCCTACCTGCCTATCAGCCTTCCAAACTTATCGTGTGCCCTCATTGGTCATGTGCGGAGGAGGGGCTCTGTAAGGAAGTCTGAAGGAAGGGGCAGATTTTTTTGCGGTTGTCTACTTTCAAATTCTAGCGCACTTGAGCTGGTTTCTCCATTCTTACCTACCCTACCTTTAAGGCAGACTCACATGTAATGTTCGTCTCACGTCTCAAGTTCTTCCCTCGTGGTTTTGCATTACCAGCCAGGAGAGCTTTAGTTTCAACCAAAGCAGACTTTGGGATTAATGTGAATTAACAGATTACCTTTGAAGTGATCGTTGAACTTCAGACTGCCGCTCTTTCTGGGTGAAGCAATTGTACTTGTTTGAGATTTACTAAAGGCTCTAGTTATATCCCAACTATTGGGTCCAGCACACACAACTTGTACTATTGCTCAAATATTATGGCATCATGTTGTTTTTCTCAACTCAAAAGACGGGGCTTGTTTGTTTTGGCTAATGGCTAATGTGTCTATATCCAGTCAGACGTCCATTTTTATCCCGTCTAAACTTGACACACTTCCCTCTATTTTTGGCCACGGCCTAAACTTAACCGTTCCGTTGTTGTGTACACATCGGATCACACACACGCTAACACGCTAATCCTTTCCTCTGTGCCCCCTCAGGTTCTCCCTGAACTCGGAGCTGCACAACCACTCGCTGGTGTCGGTCATCGGGGGAGAGGAGGAGCACTTCGAGGACTTTGGGGAAAGTAACACCTCGGAGTTACTGGAGAGCAGCGTGGAGGGGAGGGAGGGTGAGGGAGTCTCCCCTCTCGAGAAGACACCCGCACAGAACAATGGCTCCTCACTGCTCTCTCCCAGGTATGACCTACACGACTAAACCAGAGTACCTCTTTACGGACATGTTTTAAACGTTCTGATATGAGGTATTAGACTAAGCACAGGTAGCACAGGTGACTATGTCAGTTGGCAGCACAAGTAAATATTTGGTCTTTTTGGGGGGGAAGTTTGGTATAGATCAATGACAGTCGGTCTATCGCTGCCTGAACTCTTTATCAGTGGAGTCAGTAAGTCTGGTTGTCCTTTACTCTCTCTTCTCATTTTCATTTTTTAAAATAATTAGCCATAGGCTGCTATGTTTTTAAAAACATTGACAGCAAATGGATTGTTTCTTAAACCTTTACGCCGATGCTCAAAACTGTCCAGCTGTTTAAAATGAGTTTTTAGGTTGTACTTTTTCAAGATGTGAAGGTTGGTTTATTCAGTTCACTTTATCTACAGTATGTTATTGAGGTCTTTTCACTGCTCCCACATATGCTGTATGGAAAAAAAACTCTACATTATATTTGTTGATCAGCCATAGACCGCTTTACTTTTGAAACACGTTAACAGCTAAATGTATTGTTTGGTAGAGCTCTACGTTCACCGTATGTTTTAACTGGTCTCAAAACCCACACAAAAGAGAAAACATGCTCGTGTGGACAAGTGATCCATTTACACATTACAGTAGCTGTGAACGGAAAAGCAAGCAAGGTTTTCTTGTCGGAGGCACTCATTGGGTGTTGCGAGCTAGTGGCTACGAAGTGAGCACGGCCCTCCCTTGTTCACTCATTAAGTTGAATGTTGAGATTTTGGAGGCGGTGTTGGAATCGAGTGTGTCTGAGTTGGACCGGGTCCCCAATGATAATTACGAGACATTTTTAACTCCCCAAAAATGGATCGGACATGCAACGATTTTGGTCGCAGTCTGGAGTTCTGCATTTGAAAATGTTGGCAGCCTGAAGATTATTAAACTAAGACTTTCCTTGACTCATCCCTGCTTTCTGATACGAGGTGTGACGCTGTTACATTCTCAGCTCCGGTTTAAATGTCCTTATTTATGTTCTTTGGAGGAAAAGTTTCTCTTTTAACAAAGACACAGAGGACAAATGTTGATAAGAGCTTTCTGGAGACTTGCTTATCAGGCTCATTTTCTCGTGAAGGGCGAAGATAAATCAAGTGTATACAAAGTTCATTCCATCAGTGTTGCTCTCACTGTTGCAATGTTGTTGAAAATGTGGGGCCAAATCCTAAAACTGTGCCTCCTTTGGCCCTTGTTGTGTGATCCTGAGAGTAAATGTTTTACACGGTTTAATTCAGGGTGAACAAGCCATGTAGGACGGACAGGAGGTGGCTGTTTTGTTGGGCTGGGTTCAGACACCAAGAGGAATATCTAACAAACTGGGCTGGTGGACAGTGTCTGGGAAACACCAACATACAGCCACATTTCTACACACACACTCCTCTCTATAGCACCTGTCCTTTTTGTTGAAGCCCCTGTTGTAGACTTTCCCCTTGTCATCTTTTTCCAATCCTCCTCCTCAGTTTTCACCAGAGACTAAAGCAAGATAATGAGTAATTCCCTCTTGGGTGATATTTCCGTGATCTGCCTCACCGGGATGCTCTTAATGTTCTGAGCATACTTGCCAACCTTTAGACCTCAGAAATCGGGAGCATTTCAAAATGCAAAATTAGGTGGGGGGGGGGGTGCTAGTGGATCGCCGGAGCTGTTAGATTAACATTAACATGCTTATTGTAGTTGTAAGTGCACTGCCTTGCGGCCTGTAGCACCGTCCTTGATGGAGCATATGTGTGGGCTGGACCTGTATTTTACAGGAAAGGAGTGAGCAGAGAGTAGAGTAGTTGTCGATTCTTGTTCTGTTTTCTGTGAATATCTGCCTCACCCTCTCAGACTTTGAGTTGCGCGCGCTACTAAAGACACGTGTTACCATGGAAACCAAACAATGGTGTAGCTGTATTAAAGTCTGAGTGGAAACAGTCCTGAGTAAATCTGATTTTGTCAGAAATCGGGAGAAATGTGAGAGAAATATGACCCCGGGAGGAAACCGGGAGAGGTCAATGAAATCGGGAGTCTCCCGCGAAAATCGGGAGGGTTGACAAGTATGGTTCCTAGTTTTTGTAGCAAAAAAAAAAACTTTGACTTACTGCTGTATAATGGTTCAAACATAAACACAGTTATACAAAACTATGTTTAGAAGGTGTATAACATTTAAAAAATATAAATAAATATACACAAAATATTCTAATATTTTATAGTAGTTATTAAATATAACTATTAAGGATTATAACAATTATTAAATAATATACTATTTATTTGAATATACAGAAAAGTAATTATAGCAAGATGATGACAAGGGCAATATATTAGAAGATTAATTATTAGAGTTAATTAATATTACAGGTACAACATAGTCTTAATGGATTTTTGAACTTGCTTGTTATGTTATTGCATATTTTTTACCTTTTTAAATTATGGTTAAAATTGAAATGAAAGTCATTATTGAATCACATACTGCCTGTGAAAGATCACATGGCGTACACGTTGTTGGTGGTTAGGCTAAAAAAGAATATCATGCTTCCCACAAACTTCACCCACTCACTGTGAATGCGTCACTGTGTTTTGGGCCAATCGTGCTCACTGATGGCGCATGTACCGACGCTGCCTACACACACACACACACACACACACACCCCCCCACCCGCACCCCCACATGTATCTACATATCACAGCGCTTTTACTCCTGCTCAACAGAAATGGCTGTAAGCAACAAAGTCATCCTTCACACTGTCAGGGAACAACAGCGCGTACGACCATCAAGTGGCAAACACTTGAGAAGTCTGCCCCGCCACGTTTTTCTGCCTACATAAACAGGAAGCTGTGTCAGCGTGTTGCATAATGAATGCCTGACTCTCTGCCTGAATGGACAATCAGCCGGCGGAGGTGATGTGAGGAGAGGCCGCAGAATCCGGAGCAATGAAATAATCGGCTGCGTGTTGCCTTGGTTTGCTCGAGAGCTGAAGTTGTTAGCTTAATTGTAACCATTCTGTTGGCTGTCTGCAAACAGGCCAAGGTCACAATGAGGGAAATGAACAAAACAGCAAACTGAAGAAAAGCAACACAATCTTCCTCTGATAACGTTTTGTCTCCTTTCACAAAGAAACACAGCCCCTCCCACTTTACTCCTTTAAATTCTCCTGTGGATTTCACAATCTCCTCCTGCACCCCCCTCAAAGGTGTTCCTGTCCCACCTCACTCACCACTTCCTCCCCCCCTTCCTCCCCCTTGTTTCCTCTTTCCAGTGCCACCGCTGCCTTACCTGACTGCTTTCAGAGCTTCCTCAGGGAGGAGGCGCTGGACTTTTTCTGTAGCCAGTGTCACAAACAAATAAGTCGCCTGGAGGACCTCTCCACTCGCCTCAATTTCCTAGAGATGACTAGGTAACCCGTCATTCACGCCCCACGCAGGCTCTGTGAATGTGTTTGCGGTGATGATTTAAACGCAGTGTCATGCATGTTCTCATAGTGTGTGCATGCTGGCAACAACATGGTGTGTGTTATGTTACAGATTGCACTTTCCACACAGTGTTTTTTTCATCTGCGCCCTCTTGTTGTGTGATTTGCAGTGTGTGTGAACATTCAACCTTTAGTGTTTTAATGATGGAAAATCTATTTTTCAGTCGCTCCGATTAATTTTTTTTGGATCATGGTAGTCCATTGTTACTATTTTGGTTTGTCACTCATGCATAAAATACATATTGCTCATCTCAAAACAAGCTTGTAAATGTATTGCGTGATTACAAAAGAATGACCCCAGGTATTACAGGTGAGTGGCGTCTGTTTCAGTTCTTCTCTCCACATCGTGTCATCATGCTTCATTTGAGTTGTTGCAGAATGACTGCTGGAAGTGGAGCAAAGCTTTTCAAATAACTTGTTTTTATCGGAACAGCTGATCCAGGATTACTGAACAGTAGTTGTGTTATAGAAACGTACTAATACTGAAATCCTATTTGTTGGTTCAGCTACTTAATGGCATGATTCAGAACTTTGGCATTTCCTTTACAAAAATCCATTAAACCCGGTTTAAGTTTCTGTACTGCCGTGACAGGTCAGAACTGATCCTTAATCAGCACTTGATAGACATTGTTAATCCATGTGTTTGTGTGGGATTGCTGTGAAACAAGTGATTTTTAAGTAAAAATCCACATCATCGTGCCTTTTTGTTTTCTGTGGGGTTAGCAAATGGAGGGTCGGGGGGTTAGATACCAGGAGATGGAGTCTCTTTCCTTTGATCCTTTTTCTCTTCCTGACCATTTTTCCTGTTGTTCTGTTTCCCCGTCCAGCGCTGGCAAGAGGCTGTCCAGCAAGAAAGTAGCAAGGTAAGCCAAATGGTGGCTCTAATTTCAGTGGGCAGGGTGTTCATATTTCTACAATCATTGTAATAGATAGTTATGTTTGGCCCACAGAAACAAAGCAGTGTATGAAATGTGAACTGGCTCTATGGATTTACGTTTTTCTCCGTTCCTCGTGCAGACATCTCCTCCAAAACAGCTCGATGACTCTGGACACTGTGAGCGACCTGACGCGGGACATCCTGGAGCTTGCAGATAACGACATCACAGACAAGGTGAGCTGTGGAGGAAGTTAACGGATAATATTTTTCTGCAACGTTTGCTTTTTCACAATCCTCCTGTTACTTATTTTGATCTGTGAGCAGCCACAGCTTTCACCTGTTACAGTCGCTGTTCCAGATACAAGGAGCATTTCCTACTGTCAGTTAAAGGGGCCTTATTATTATATATTTTTTTCGTATCTTTCCTCTCCTGTAGTTTGTTATTTAGGTCTTTTTATTCATGTAAATGGTCTGTAAAGTCTAGCCCCCCCCCCCCTCCCTGAAACAACTCCACTGGACTCCTTTGTTTACATCCAGAACACAGTGACAACACTATGTAACACTTGCACTTCTATTGGCTAGTGCTCCAACACATTGTACGTGATAGGCTAAAGGGTGGGACATCTCTTAGCGGTTGACCAATCACAACAGAGCCTGAAAATGATCAGAATAAGGCCCCTTTAAAACACATGCTTTTACAATACATTTCAATGTTAGTCTCTAACCTTTTTAAAAATGTGCCTATTCCAGGTGTTGCTCCTGGAGCGTCGAGTGGCCGAGCTGGAGAAGGAGTCGGAGGCTTCGGGGGAGCAGCACACTCGGCTGCGGCAGGAGAACCTCCACCTCGTGCACCGGGCCAACGCTTTGGAGGAGCAGCTGAAGGAGCAGGAAGTCTACGCAGACGAGCAGGTTCAGCAGGAGACCCGGCGCCACAAGGAGGCGCTGATCAAGCTGGAGAGGGAGAGAGGAGTGGAGCTGGAGAACCTGCAGGCCAGGTGAGCGGCGGAGGAAAGACGGGTTAATGCGTATAGCATTTAACATTCAACATCAAGAGTCCTTATATCTTTTTGAAAAGGACATTAAGGTTTGGTGCCAGCATAAAAAAAAATCTACAGATTGATTGTTATTCTGTTTTGAGGTCTGCACAGACTACCTGGTTTATGAAACGCAATTTTATAATAATCATGAAGATAATTATATTTTATGTAATTCATATAATGCTGTTCTAAGTAAACTATAAAACAGAAAGCTGTTAATATCTATGTGATATTCAGTAAAAAAAAACGTTATATGTTTTTGATACTTAGTGATCATTTCAACATGATATTGCAAACAACATTTCGTTTTTGATACCCTCACTAGTTTTAATGTTGTACCTTTGTTGCGTTTGCTGTATGAGGTTTAATGGCGTACTAAACACATATTTGATCATTTAACACCAAACGTTTTCTGGTTGTTTCTTGGAGGAACCGAGGCTCTACACTGCCACCCTCTGGCACTAATCTGCTATAGGAAATGTCCCTGTGGTGTAGTGTTGTTTACAATAATCAAACGGGATGTGTTGTTGTTTCATGGCTGTGCTGTTGGTCTCTGATGAGGATTGTGTGTGTGTGTGTGTCTCAGGCTGCAGCAGCTGGACGAGGAGAACAGCGAGCTGAGGTCGTGCGTTCCCTGTCTCAGAGCGAACATCGAGAGACTAGAGGAGGTGAGAGAAAACACATCTCATCTCCTGGGTGTTTTGCTTTTTCTCATTTCATTAACCATGTGTCTGAACGCTGCTCGTCCTCCTCACATTTATTTCTGTGTTTGTGGTTGCCAGGAGAAGAGGAAGCTGCAGGATGAGTCAGAGGCGCTGTGCGACCGGCTGCAGGAGGAGACGGAGTCCCGGAGGAAGATGGCCGACAAGCTGAGCCACGAGCGCCACCAGAGCCAGAAAGAGAAGGAGAACACGCAGGAGGTGGGGCGCTTTCTCTGTGTGCAAAACAAACGGTCAACAGAGCTCTGCAGCATTTAAAGTAGTTGTATTCTCCTAGTCTTGTCAAGTTGAGACAATTTGTAATACTTTGAAGCATGTGTATTTTTACATAAATCATTGCAGTGCAGTACAACATTTCCCTCTGAAGTGTCCTTAGACCTTGATATGAGTTCACAGCTCCCCTGTCTCCAAGAATAGGTTTTGGTTAGATGCCTGAAAAAAGGTCTTGAGTTAACACCTTCCTAAAATATTTAGCTGTTCTACGGCAACACAAAATATGTGAGTCGGTCACACTTGTTTTATTTTTAAGCTTTTATTTTTCTCAGAGAAGTCAGTTGTTAACAATGTGACTGAATGACTAAACAGGTTGTCAGAGACATTAAACAAATTATGAAAATCTAATTACAAGTCGATCTATACAGTGTCGTTGTGCTCATCCTTGCAACTCAAACTTTCCAACTTGTAAATGAATCAATGCATAGTACTTCAATATCTTTTTTGAATATAACTTAATGTTAACGTTATACTTCTGGCAGTAGCATTTACGCTTCAAAAAGCCTTTACGGTGTTCATATGTGTAGATTGTCTTGTTTATCGGAATGTTTTAGTATCACAAGCGTTTGTTTGCCAGCTAAAGTGTGCGGTGGTGGCGAAGTCCATAGGGACTTGGCTTGGCAACTGGAAGGTCACCAGTTCAAGTCCCGGCAAGACTAAGTGCTACCGAGGTGTCCCTGAGCAAGGCACCGTTCCCTACACTGCTCCCCGGGCGCCGTTCATAATGGCAGCCCACTGCTCCTAACACTAGGATGGGTCAAATGCAGAGAAACCATTTTGTTACAAAGTGTTTAATGACAATAAACGTGCAAAAAAGTATATATGCTAATAAAGAATCACGGAAACCAGGGCGATGCTAACTTCCGTGGTAGACATCACTGTCTTGTCTGCAGCCCTCTAGACTGTTTAAAGCTTTACTCTCATGTGTCAAATGTTCCTGTCTAAATTATAAAGTGTGTTTTTTGCCTCATTCTGTTATATTTCTATCAACTTTAATAACTGATGTGTTTTGATTTGTTCGTACCTCAGCTGATTGAGGACTTGCGTAAGCAGCTGGAGCATCTACAGCTCTACAAGCTGGAGGCCGAAGCAAAGAGAGGACGCACACCCGGGGCCGGGCTGCAGGAGTACCAGACCCGCACCCGAGAGGCCGAGCTGGAGCAGGAGATCAAACGACTCAAACAGGTAGCACGCCCATTCTGAGGAACCCTGATAAACCCGGAGTATCCATGTTGTTCTCCTTCTATCACTTTGACCAGACTGTTTGGAAATGGAAGAATGATTTAGGATGCTGGTTTTACGATGTGTTACGTTTGTGTCATCGTCTCCAGGACAACCGCAGCCTGAAGGAGCAGAACGACGAGCTGAACGGACAGATCATCAACCTCAGCATCCAGGGAGCCAAGAACTTGATGTCGGCGTCTTTCTCCGACTCGCTGGCAGCTGAGATCAACAACGTGTCCCGTGTAGAGGTGGGTTTCAGAGCACAGGAAGACGCAAAACATATTCCTTGTTGGTTCCCCTTTTTATTCATAGGCAGTTGGAGAATAAGTACCGATACATTACTGACGTAAAATAGGGTTTGAAAAAACTCCATTAACAAGAAAAGTCCAGATTTTAAATATTGAACTAAAAGTAAAGAAGTATTGTCATCAAAAAAGTGCTTAAAGTATCAAAAGTTGAAATATTCATGGTCCTAAAAGTCTCCTTTCAAAGTATTATAGAGCAGTAATATTCAGTTTTTACCACCAAATATTGCATTTTAGAGAGTTGTATTCTTCTAGTCTGGTCAAGTTGAGACCATTTTAAATACTTTGAAGCATAGCATGTTTAGTTTTACATGTAAAAGTGGGTAAATCATTGCCGTGCAGTAAAAATTACAATATTTACCTCTGGAGTGTAGTGAAGTAATAAATATCCTTAGTGCAATCCACCACTGGATATGGGCAAATTTTATTCCGTGTTTTCACTTTTTTCTCCTCTGACTTCTGCCTCTCTGCCTGTAGTTGATGGAGGCGGTCCACAAACAGGAAGAGATCAACTTCAGACTCCAGGACTACATCGACAAAATCATCGTGGCCATCATGGAGTGCAACCCCTCCATCCTCGAGGTCAAATAGTCTCCAAGCAGCCAGACGGCCGCAGCACAGTGACTCCTCAGGCTGTCAAAAACAACCGGAGACTTAAAGAAAGCTACCAAGAGAGGATGTAAAAAATACTCAGACACCATTTTGATAGGAAAGCAAGGACGCACTCGACTCATCCCCCCCCCCCTTAAAGAGAAGAATCTAAGAAGTCTGACGGTGAAAATCAAGCAGTTTTCAGTTCCATATCCCTTAAGTCTGTGCTTATGTGTGTGTGTGTGTGAGAGTGTGTGTGTTAGCCCTCCTGAATGCACTTGGGTTCTGGTGACCTCCATGTATTTGGCTAGAGGGACCCGAGTCTTACTGTTAAAAAGTAGAGAATCTTCAAAGTGTCAATGTCTGATTGAGCTGAAACTCAATCAGACAGGTACATAAAGGCCTTAAATGAAAGGTGATCCAAGTATCCATTATCACATGCCTCAGTTCAGTCATTGAAGTGTTACTGAGATGGTGGTAAGTAAGAGGCTTCGATCCCCTGAACCAGGCTGAATTGTGTTTTTATTCACAAGAGAGAAAGCCGTATGAAGCTGGGCGGGAGATCGGAGCGGCAGTTCCTCTTTTGATTTGTGTTTAAAGCTTGCGGTGCTTCCTTAATTCTGTCCTCTAACGGTCCTTTCCATCGGACCCAAGTGAGGGACGTTTCTAGGCGTCGAGGATCAGAAAGGCCCTGAGGGATCTTTGTGTGTGTGTGTGAGGTGTTTGACATTTATTTTGCGCAGTGTTGCTTTAAGGTTTTGAAAAAAGCTTGGTGACACTAGCGAGTAGTAATATAAGCTTCGATGTCCCAAATGAAGAAACTGGGTTGTTTATGATTTGCTTCAATTTGTTGTTTTACAATGAAACAGGGTCCCGGAGCTCAGGTGGGCTGGAAACCTCAAGTGTTGAAAAAAAAACTACATTTCCCATCACTCCCTCTGGCACAAATATTCAATAAGTCACTAAGTGAATGGTTACTGTAACTGACAAATATACCCTGCTAATACTGACACGTAAACACTTGAACTACGCATGAAGGGAAACTGACGAGTGATTCTGGGATTTGTAGTTTTTTTTTTTTTTTTTTTTTAGTTCAGCCCACCTGACCCCAGTGTTCTCTTGCTGAGTGAAAGTAATGGGGAGCAAGTTAATCCAGGTAACCAACCTTAATTTTTTGCTGCACAAGTGATTTAATGTCAGTCAAAAAAAGTTATTGATGACTGAAAAATGCTGACATTCGACAAGTTGTATGTGAATAATCAAATGGTTGTACTTTGCACTAAGTTTTGTTTTGATTTCATTATTGTTTTGTTGATATATATATAAAAAGAAATGTCTATTGTGAAGGGATCGAATCATAAATGAAGATAGTTTTGAAGACTGTATGATAGTGAAACCCATTTCATTTCAATGTCATCAAATCGATTCAAGAATACTACATTTCTCAGCCATGTCTTAAAAGGTTTCATTTCAGTTACATATTGTATTTTTTCAGCCGTCAGGAGTTCAGATGAGCTTTTCTCTGCTGGTTTTTGGTCAGTTATATCGTTATTCAGACCTGGAGAGACACGGCAGACTTTGGTAGCAATAACGCTTGGCAAGAAGTGGACATTGGTGGAGGGCAGATGGAACAAACATGCTCTTTATTTCCTCTGCCGGAGCATCATCTGCCTTTTCCAATCCGTACGGACTGATTGTGGACTGAGGCCGTGCTTATCGGTACTACGCAGCCATTGGTTTTGGACAGACATCTTGAAGGATTTCTGGTTTAAAGGAAGCCGGTTGATGTGTTTTGTTCAAACGGCATGGCATTCTTCACCAATATGCTAAGAAGAAGTCCTATTTTCTCACCTCTCACCGCTCTACTTCACCTGCCACCACGGAAAAATGGCCTTGGATGTAAATGACTTGTACATGTAAAGTTTTTCTACACTCATTCTAGATTCTAGGTATTTTTATAGTGGGAAGAACATTTCTTCTTGTCTTATGCTGAGACAGCTGCCTGTATTCTTCTCTAGCATGTAGCGTGTACAGTACCTCTTTTTTTTTTTTCCTTCTCGTTTTGAAATCACATGCAGATATTTATTCATCAATTGACACAAACTCGCACTCTGTGATCTGTTCCGCTGAATATATATCTTTGTACATTTTTTTTTTTTTGAGTTCACAAAGGGAGAGATTAAATGAATCTTTGGGAGAATTTGACTGGATTTAGAGGAAGCGTTTGCCGTCGTGTGCAAAACGCAGAGTGGTCGTTGGTCGAGGCGCTCTTCCATTCACGGCCTCCTCAGGGTTGTGATTTCAGACGTTCTGCAGTTTCTACTGTTGTCTTCCCAGATGGAGTCAGGTCCTGCATGGAAACACAGATTTGTATTGTGTATATCTCTGATTCAGACCCTTTTTGTTTTGACTGAAAAATCTAATTAAGAGACCTCCTAATAGCCCCAACTGATTTAATTCTTCATTATTTATGCTAATTCCTCCTTCTTTGGGAAGACACTTGAACGCAGCAGGTGATGCTTCACTTAGTTCTCTCCCTGCTTCTTATTTTAGTGTCTGACAGATAGTTTGAGGCAACAGAATAAGTAAACACAGAGCTGTCAAAACATTCCCTTTGAGCAGAGCTGAAGGTGACTGCACTTTAACCACCAAATTTACTCCGAATGACCAAAGACAGATTCAACGTTAACTGATTATTTTATCCATCAGGGTCCGTAATCTTTCGATAACTGTTCTAATAAATCAACACACTCTTAAAGGAAAGGAAAGGAAAACTGGCCTGCTAGTCTAAACACTGTGCCTCTGTGTCTCAAACTCTGCCTCTAAACTAACCTGACGATGAGCCCTGGGGAAAGCACTGACCATGTGACTCTCAGTCTGTTAAATTATAATGATGAAAGCCTAAACTGTAAATATGAATTGTCATTTTTTGTGAACTTTTTCTCTCTCTCACGCTCACTTCCAGTGTCCAAAGAAAGTCTGCTCAAGGCACAAACATCACTACTGGAGTAGTGCATGGCTTGCCATTATGCGACATGGGAAGATTAAAAGAGAATATTGTTGAAAAGAGAAATTGTAAAAGTTAAATTTATTCCTATTTTCAAAGATAAATGTATAAATTATAACAGTATTGGTTACAGCTGTATATTATTTTTCAATATCCCCAAATGATCTAATCCTAATTGTTACTGGGGGAATATCATTTCAGTCATTGTAAAAAAAGAGAACAATTTAAAGGTAAGCAGTGAAAGTAAGATTAGAAAAATAAATGGAATAAAATGAAACTGTGTTGTCTCGTTTCTTGCATGTGTTTAAATTAGACTGTGTTTGCATGTACTGTACCGATACCGGCAGCACAATATGGGTCAGATTTTAACAAACATACTATTAACACTTCAACAATACACGTTTATTTGTTCAATAATTCCACTGTGCAACTCTAGCATAAATACTGTATTTAAGTATATTGTACCTCTAAACTAATATTCTTATTTATACATTTCTAGCATTTCAACACTTAATCATCTCACTTCAGCATTAATGTGTTTTACATCGGAGTTATGCAAGTTGTTCACAATTAATCAAAAGTAATTTTCCTTTTTTATGATTAGTATGTAATCAATCTTATCATCATTCACTTCCACATAAACCTAAATAACTGAATTCCACATTTCAATGTTCTAAAAGTTAGATTTATTCTGCTCTTTATTTTCGCCCATATTTATTATTTCACCATTCATGTTAAAGCTCCATAGGCCCTCCAGTCTCCAACCCATCAGCGCCACCTGCAGGTTGTAGACATGTACTGCATGGACCCTGTACAGATTGCTCATAAAGTAATAGTTTTAACTTTTGTAATTCGTAGTCCACTCATATGACTGTTAGGAAAACCTGAACCCTTTATTTCAGATTCTGAAATCACCTCTTCAATGTAAGGGGATTATTTACTGTATCACAGTATATATATATTTTTGCTTTCTTGAATGCCTCACGGGTCAGACGGTCCCGGAACCTTTCTTCTCCTCCCTGCTCACTACGGACGTATTTTGATGGAGCACACAGAGTGAACACGGCGGGATGCTCATGTTTAACAGACAGTAGGAACAGAACATTTAACCTAAAAAATTACGTTTTAATGTCAAAGAAACTTTAAATGATATCCACCTATATACTATTTGTTGAATCATGTTGTTAATTGGTTAATACAAATGCCCAGGTACGTATCAATGTTGACAGGAAAACTGTTGAAGCTAACATTCATTCAGTTATAACGTAAATTGTTGTGTGTTTAAATATTGACATTGATAGTTAACGGTACTTTGTGAACAGAAATTAGTCGCTAAATGACCGTTAACTACAGCTTAACGTTAAAAGGAGAGTTACCATGAAACAGAATTAACTTGATTATTCTGCGTTAAGGCTTAACATCCACAAAGTGTTGGTTTGATACTTTGATATTCAATTTAATTCAAATAGTTGTATTGGCATGACCATAATGACATACAGTATTGCCAAATCTCTATAAATATTAGGACATCTATACATACATTTATATATTTGGATTGTACTGTTATGTTCATAAACAATTTGAACAAAAGCAAGAATTACATGTTTTCTTTACAAGGAAAACAATATACTTTCTGTACATGAACTATAACTATAATAAACAATATAACTAGATATTGCCTTCAGCTAAATACACATTTGCAAAATAGACTCATAGTTACTTATTTATATCTACAACGGTGAATTGTTTTGAGTTAGTTTCATACTTATTTTTTGGAATACCTGTTCTCAGTTGTTTTTCGGTGTGAATAACCTATTTCTCATGTTTTTATTTAGCAGGTAAAACCAGCTTCTTCCCATTTTAAAGATGGACTCCCTTGCCCCTAACACTGAGGTTCGTGTGGCCGTGGCCCAGTGTTTCCGGACCCTCTCTACATCCACAGAACCCAAAGACATTATCAGCTCTCTTCAAACCCTCCACTCTTTCCTGGATGAAGGGCCAGAGAGCAGAAGCACCCCGGATCAGAGATCAGAGTTCAGCAGAGTTCACTTCACCCGCACCCTTCAGTTCCTGCTCAGCAAAATCCAGGCTGACTGGCTGCTCGGCCTCTCAGCCGCCCAGCGCACTGACCTGTGGGACGGCCTGTTCCTCAGAGGCCCCCCCGAGCAGGCCCTGCTGGTGCTGATGGAGGGAATATCAGAGCTGAGGTGGGTAGTGCTGCAGAATTTCTTCTATGCTAGTAAAAAGACCATTAAACTACAATCGTCTACAATTCTCTTCAACGTTGTAAATTGTGATATTGTATACATTCATTTTTCTCCCTCAAGCTTAAAAGTAAGGTACGTTTATTTATATCAGCTCATAGTGCTTTACATTATCATTAACATACAACAAAAAATTACACAGAAAACAAGACAATACATAAAAGACAGAGAAAATACATACAAATAAACATTGTTAATAGTACACGAGAGGTGGAGTAATACAATATTATAACATATTTTAATAAAAGCCTTTTAACTGTGAATCCCAGTGTCCTGCACTTCTTCATAGGTAATACATTTCTTATTCACCATTGCAGGTCATATGAAACTGTGTGATTGTGCTCCTTAACACATAAAATAAAGCAGCAATCTATTTAGTTTATTTATAAGCTCTACTACAAAACATTTATTAGCTATTGTTTTTAGGTCACAGGACAGTTTAAATTCAACTGTACATCTTGATCAACTGAAATTGGAATTATCATGCTGCCTCCAAATCAAAAAAGCTCAGAAAAAATGTGACGAGCCGTTTCCTAGTTCACTTTGACATTTTAAAAGAATGTATCTATGTATTTGCAATCCCACTTGTACTGCTTAACTTTGAAAATGTATACTCCCTGATCCTCTGTCCATGCTTAAACAGTATTTCAAAAATGATTTTGTACACAGGTCTCTCTTGAAAAAGAAAGCCCAGATTTCAATGGGACTTCCTCAATAACGGACAAAATAGAGGATGACATCATGTTAACCATGAACTAATCCTTTCTCTTTATTGTCTCTCTGCACAGAGCCAGCACTAGCCTGGACCTGTTGATCAGCATCACAGAGCGCTTCCTTCTGAGCGGCCGCCTCGCCGCGCTGCTCTGGTCCTCCTGTCTGCAGACGGCCCCCTCCGACTCCCCCCAGCTCAGGGAGACTCTGCTGGCTCGGATCGTGGCGCTGCCGGACCTCACCGCCAACCGGTTACATCTGAAGAACAAGCCCTGTTTCTGTCCTCAGCAGTACTTCACCCTGCTGGCCTCAGAGATGCTCACTGCGCTGGAGCGGACCTGCCAAGCACTGAAAGGTGAGGGCACGTCTCTCACCTATAATAAGAGCATGTGATGGATTTATGTAGAAGATTTATTTTTAGCATATCAAAATGATAATTACTCATCATTTCTATTTTGAACAGATGGCACAGACTGCTCCTTGATCTTCGTGGCTCAGACTCTTGGAAAAGTGTGTGTCCAGGGCCACAGTGGTGAGTTCACTGTACATTTAGCTGAAACTACATTGAATAGTGGTTATGATATGTGCCGGCAAATACAAATTCAACTCCAAAGATCTTTTTAAATAAAAAAATAATTACATACATAATCTACCACAATTGTGATAATAAATGATGTGTCGTGTATCAAGAAAAAATGCCAAAACATTGTTGTAGATGTTTTACATTAATTTAACATGTAATGGTTTTGTATTACATGTATGTTTATTTTTAAAATATTTGGTTGAGATCTGAGAAATTATTATAGTATTTTTGACATATTCCAATCCAATCCAACTTTATTTATATAGCGCTTTAAAACCTTCAGACCAAAGTGCTGTACAGAGAGATAAGCTCACAAAACATAAAATAAATAAATTTCAAATAAAAGATACAAAACAAACCAGAATAAACGTAATAATTAAAAAACCACTGAAAGCAAATAAAAGCAACAATCTATTTGTTTACGAATGCTAAGGAGAAGAGGTGGGTTTTAAGACGGGATTTACAAACAGACAGTGTGGGAGCCTGTCTGATTAACAAGGGCAAGTCGTTCCACAGTTTAGGGGCGGCAGCAGAGAAAGCACGGTCCCCTCCGCGCTTAGACTTTGTTTTTGGCACCCTCAGGAGCAACTGATCAGCTGACCTGAGAGTGCGAGTTGGCGTGTAGCTGTGTAACAGCTCAGAGAGGTAGGGCGGGGCCAGGCCATTGAGGGATTTAAAAGTAAATAAAAGAGTTTTAAAATGAATCCTTGAATGAACAGGCAGCCAGTGGAGTGAAGATAAAAAAATATATATATATTAAAGACCAAAGAGGGCATTGATTCATGGTTATTGGTTTATTTGTTAATTTCATAGTGTTTTATGAATCCAAAAGCTTTGAATTTCTCTAGATAATATTGATTACGTCTGATAGGCAGAACTGTCATCCATAAAACTGAAATTACCATTTACACTCTCTAGGAAATAATGAGAATTGTTTATTGAGACACAGAATGCATGTTTACTTCCTCCCTCCAGGTCCTATGTTTGCGGTGATGGCCCCCCGGCTGTCTGTGTGCACGCGCTCCGACATGGTGTGGCAGAGGGTCTGCTGGAAGCTGCTGCAGAACGTTCCTCAGCGCTGGATGGAGAGCGTGCTCACCGGGCTGGTGCAGGCCGTCAGAGGGTAAACAGCTTGCAGCTTATACAGCCTTAGTTGAGTTTTCTATTTTCCCTTCATGACCCCAGTTTCCACCTCTTTTCTTCAGACCTGAAGCCTTTGGCAGGATCATTGGGAATCTAGTGTTAACGGATAAAAAGGCCCAGTATGTGGTCACTCACAAACTCCTGTTACTGCAGTACAAGTATGAGGTAAGAAGATACCTTCAGCCTGACTGTAAAAATGATAACTTTAAGATGAACTAATGAAGATTTGTTGTTTCTCCCTAGACTCAGGTTTTGAGAACTGTCCTGGGTTACCTCGCAGCCGACAGGGAGCGGAGGCCACTGCTCCTCCAGGTGAGTGCATCAGGATATAACACACACACGTCAGAATCATCAATAAATATTATGTTTTATAATATATATTAATATATTTTAGAATTTTAGAATATTTTAGAGGGAAGAACCCCCCTTTAACCTGAACTGTTTCGATCTCTCTCCTACCTGTATGTGTGTGTGTGTGTGTGTGTGTGTGTGTGTGTTCTCAGGTGCTGCGGGCTCTGTCCCAGGCCTGGGCTAACCCCAGTGCAGTGAAGCACACACCTCTGGAGCAGCAGCTGT